CATCATGTCCACAGACAAGGGATAGGTTGGGTGGGTTGGGGTTTACTTTGAACCCCAGAAAAAGTACCTAACCTAAAAATCATTAACCCATTATCAGGTAGAAGAAATCAAAACCTGGAAATCGTTTTTTTTAACTGATAAATTGTAGCTCTTAAAAAACATAGCCATAGATAGAAGGATACTTGGTGCACCTTATATACTCTAAAATATAGTGCAATAATTAAAAATAACTTTTGAACTGCCTAAAAATGTTTTCATTCATCAACAACTTGGCATTTAAAATCGTAGACCGCGGTATTTCCGAATACTTTTGCCAAAAAAATCGTATTGTATTTTGCTAAAATAAAAAAGTGTGTCAAATTTATTTCGGACCGACACTTTTTAAGCTTCAGAGCTCATGTGTTTAATTAATAGTATTTGACTTTTTCGTTTAATTGCTTCGTTTTAGTGTTTTTTAATTAACTCTTTAAGGTTGTTTTTTAATGATTTAATTGAGGATATTTAAGTTAATAGTTTTTTTGTAGTTTGATTTATATTTGTGCGAAACGATCATATTTTTAATTAACGCCGAGAGAAAGTGGAATATTACAAATTAGAAATTAGTTTTTGTTTGGCAGACGTATTAAGAATTTGCTATAAAAAATTAATTGTTATAGTGCATTAGGTTTTACCGATATGGCTTTAAAACATAAATTCTTTGTCTGAGATAAATTATTGACATTAATTTCACAATCTCATTAATTAATAAAAACTTTTTCTATGGTATCTTCTTCCATCTAAACTTATATTTTTTCTTAACACGAACATTTTTTAAACTAGTAATGAAAAGGAGACACAAAAGTCATACGGGGCCAACTCTGGGAAATACGAAGCCTGGTTGTTCAGGGCACTTTTTTATCTTATTCACGATATCTTTATAATAATATACATACAATAATATCAATATTTTATCAATTGGATCAAATAAGTTGTCATCCTTTTAGGGGATTTGTATACACCAACATAAGAAAGTTTTTCCGGAAAAATTGAGTCGGCAAAAAACTTAAAAAAAAACGGAAAAAATGGGAAATTCTTACGGATGATATCCGTATATATAATAATAATAATATATATGTATAGTAGGGTGGGGGGTATCCTGGGGGTGGAATTTGTAGCCTATAAAAAAAGAAAATTAAAAAAAAAAATGTTTACTCAACGTCTTGAGGTGGCCCACTGATTTGTTAAATTAAATTTTTTTTCAAAAATTTTCTTTTTTTATAGGCTACAAATTCCACCCCCAGGCTAAGGAAAAAAATTTTTTTTTCGCTCCACCCTAATGTATAATTCTGATATTATGATATGATACTGATATCGAGACAAAAGTGAATTTCCGACGCTGATTATAATCATAGTACATATTATGATTATAATAATTATTCCTTTTATTTTAATTCAGTAAGAATATTCTACCGGACCGCAAAAAACATATTTGGTGCTGTATTAACACAACTTTATTTGACACTTTACGATTTATAAAATTGTAATTTTGTAATTAAACTTAATAAATCATTCATTATTTTGTAGTTGAATATTTTGAATGGACTCCTTTTTGCAAAAAGGACCCAACCGACAGTATATTTATCGTTTACCTTTATTTTCTTAAATCAATTTAATTTAATTTAATGTTAAATTTTTTTTTATAATAAAACATTTTTTATAAATTAAAATAATGATAAGTTGTTTATTGATACTTTTTCAAATGTGTATATTTAAAACTACACAGTGAGCAATAATCTACATTCATTAAAAATTTACATTTCGCTGGTTTGGTGCAAGACTATCCTAAATCCATTTTCGAATAATTGGAGAAAAACACTATTGAACATTTCTAATTATTGTACGGCCATTCCAAGCCCATGGACAGGACACATCAGAAACATGTCTAAATATATTCTTGTTACTTCCTTAAGTTTACTTATTTTTTCTTCGAGTATTTATGAGAAGTATTAGCCAAATTTGGCTAATACTTCTTATAAATACTCGTAGAGAAAATAAGTAAACTTAAGGAAGTAACAAGAATATATTTAGACATGTTTCTGATGTGTCCTGTCCATGGGCTTGGAATGGCCGTGTAGCTAAATTGTTTTTTGCGTCATTCTTTTAAAAATTGGAAGGTTTTACATTCAAAGATTAATAAATAAATAGATATAATGCTAAAAACAATTTAGTTACAATAAATAGAAATGTTTTTAAGTATTTTTCTCCAATTCTTTGAAAATGTACTTGGGATAGTCTTGCACCAAACCAGCGATTTGTGTTATCATTGATTACTTTGTTGATAATTGTTTTTTGTTTTGCATACTCAAATATTTTTAGATTCTTTGAATAAAACATTAATAAAACTTACTTTTTATTGTTAGGTATCTCGAGGTTTCCGTGGTTTTCCCGTCGATTTTAAATTTTTTTTGGTGTTCCACAAAATTATAATAACCCAACTGTCAATCAATTTGTAATCAATGATAACAAAGTACCCACTAACCGATTTTGAATAAGTTTAAATGTTTGCTCGATATTACGTAAATCTAAGTTTTTAATTAATTGCCAAATTAATTTTTTGCTCGGATGAATAATATCATTGTTTTTAGAGGTAAAAACAATGATGATATATATAGGTCAGTGGCAACCTGGTTTTATGAAAAAGGCCTAAAATACATATTATTTCCATTTCTATTTTTAAACTAATTTGTAGAGGCTGTATATATATACAGCCTCTACAAATTAGTTTGTTATATAGGCCTTTTTGATAAGCTACTCCTTGGCTATCAATCTTAAAATTAACATTGCACAGGGCACAGGAGGCTTTATAGACATCATCATTACAATTTTTTAGCCAGGTAAAAATCTTCTTCCATTACGTAGAGTTTCTAATTACAAAAAGTTATTGGTTTCATTATTAATGAAACTATTAAAATTAAGGTATAAAAAATATATCAAATAATTGGTAAATGGATGCAAAAAAAATTGAAGGATTCAGGTTTAAAAGCTCATTCGAAGATTTCTATTGGGGTGGAAGGAGTAGATATAGAAAGAAAAAAATTCAAATTCTAGAAGCTGAGTTGCAAGAAATGAAATAATATATTTAAATAATTTATAAAAATACCTAGTCAGGAATTTTACTAAAAAACTATTTTTAGTTTTTTTGTTATATTTATAACGAGATTTATAATGTACGAGCCCTGTCTCAGTGAAGTTGGCCCAACCACTCAAATATAAAATTTGTAATTTTATGCGATGAAAAGCCAACAATTTTTTATCATATGTAATTCTAGGTCAATCTTCAAGTTGTAAAAGTTTTTTAAAAATATGTTTATGTATATTATTTAGTTTTAAGTTGGATGTTTAGTTACAATACAAAAAAATCGACAAAAATGCATTAACTTGGATGGCCAGATTTTTTAATGCAAGTCGGCTGTGCTAAAAGTAAAGATAATATTTGACATTTAAATAATTGTAAGCAAGTCTGTAGTGACATTCCAGTATATATTTATGCTTTCGGTGTGGTTGACAAATAATAATGTCCCGAGGAAAAGCTGTTTCTGAAGAAATAAGAACAGTGATAATTCACTTGCATTTAAAAAGAAAATCCGCTGCACAAATCGCTGAAACTGTTAATTTGTCACGATATACAGTGCGAAATATTATTAAACTGCACAAAACTACAGGATCTGTGGCGCAGAAACCAAAAAATGGAAGTCGTCCTCACTATTCTGATAAAAATTTAAGGGCGTTAAGAAGAATTATCGTTCAAAATCGTAGGGCTAATTACGGTGAATTAAAAGTTTTGTGGAATCAGGCAACGAGTAAATGTTTTTCCAGACAACCTGTCATAGAGCTGCTCAAAAACTTGGGTTTAAAACTTACAAGGTTTGCTTATAAAAACAGAAGAAAAATAGACTTCTCTGGGCAAAAGAGCACAGGACTTGGTGTCAAAATCAATGGGATTCAATTATATGGAGTAACGAAGCTAGATTTGAAGTTTGCGTTGGTGATAATCGAAGCCGAGTCATTAGAACTAAAGCAGAAGTCTTTCACAATGACTGTCTTAAGAAAAAAGTAAAGTTTTCGGCCTCTGTGATGATTTGGGGATCTATGTCAGCTAAAGGGATCGGTAAATTAACCTTTGTAGAGGGCATTATGAATGCTGATAAATATATTTACGTCCTAAAAAATAACTTAAAACCGCAAATTGAAGAAATGCGTTTAAATGATATTGAATGCATCTTCGAACAAGATGGTGCAGCGTGTCATACGGCTAAAAAAGTGAAAGCTTGGATGATAGAAAATAATATTTCACTTTTAAAATGGACATCTAGTAGTCCAGATCTTTCGCCTATAGAAACTTTGTGGCATATTATGAAAAAGAAGCTCAGAGAACAGCCCGCAAGAACCGTCTTAGAGTTGCGTGCTCGCCTGCAAGAAATTTGGAATAATTTTACGCCGGATGATTGTCAAAAATTGGTTGACACCATGCCGAGACGTATACAGGCAGTAATAAGCCATAAAGGAGATTTTACGCAGTGGTAGTTTCCAATTAAAATGTATTTATTTAAAATATTTTTTTTTCTTAATTTTTGGTTTACAGACAATATAAGAGAATTTTAAATATTTTTTATTAGGTACTTAAAAATACAATTTAACGGTAAAAAATTTAATAAACGTTATTTATTTAATTAAAACAATGTGTTAATTTTAATTAATTACCGTATAATATTCTAAATATCTTCAAAAAACTATTTTTGTTAGTTGGGCCAACTTCACTGAGACAGGGCTCGTATATGTATATCTTTTATTTTTGTATTTGAATAAATAATACAAGTTTTGTTTAAAAAAAAATATAAAAATGTTTTATTTTTCTTTAGTTTTCAATTACAAGGTAAAACAACCTTCTAAAATTCTAGTAGTTTATCCCAAAAAAACTCCTAAAAAGCCCTGATTAACATGTTCTTTTTAATTTATTTTAGGGCAAAGTATACTTGTTCGACAAAGTATTCAAACCAAATGCGACGCAAGAAAAGGTTTACAACGAGGCGGCCAAGAGCATCGTGTCGGACGTCTTGGCCGGCTACAACGGCACGATATTCGCCTACGGTCAAACGTCGTCCGGTAAAACGCATACCATGGAGGGCGTAATAGGGGATCCCCACAAGCAGGGCATCATACCTAGGATCGTCAACGACATCTTCAATCACATTTACGCGATGGAAGAGAACCTGGAGTTCCACATCAAAGTTTCCTATTTCGAAATTTACATGGACAAAATTCGGGACTTGCTGGACGTCTCCAAGATAAACCTCAGCGTGCACGAGGACAAAAACAGAGTGCCGTACGTGAAGGGCGCGACGGAGAGGTTCGTCTCCAGTCCCGAGGAGGTGTTCGAGTCCATAGAAGAAGGCAAATCCAACAGACACATAGCCGTGACGAACATGAACGAGCATTCGTCCCGATCGCATTCAGTATTTTTGATCAACGTCAAACAAGAAAACCTAGAAAATCAGAAGAAACTGTCCGGAAAACTGTATCTCGTCGATTTGGCCGGTTCGGAAAAAGTTTCCAAAACTGGAGCTGAGGGTAAGTTTGTCGTATAAACTGTATACCAGGGCTAGCAAATATCATAATATTTATATAAAAATCCAAATATCTGATATAAACTGCGCACCACTCAATTTGTCGCGACCAAAAATTTTGTCCTTTTTCAAAACTACATAACTTTTTTGTTTCTTGAACGATTTTATTTTGGTTTGTGATGTCTGCTAGCCCCATTCCCTGGCAATTCATGCTATAGATATGAAGCTCACGGTTCTTCAAGTAAATTTACTACAGGGTGATATGTAAAACAGTGAAAAATTTCAATAACTTCATCCAAGCCCCGTTTGTAAAATAAATATTTTTTTCTCGTTTTTACTTTGAAATAATGAAGTATTATGTCTTACCTTGAAACATTTTTCAAATTTTTCGAATTGGAATCTTGGAAAAAAATATGATTTTTTTTTCAATGGATGCTTTTTTGTAGGCAATACACTCAGCCTTTTTAAGAACTAAAGGATAAGATGGTGAAAGTTTGTTTCTTGAATAATTATGAACAAGCGACAAGCAACAAACTTTTCAGAGGAACCTAAGCAAAGACCACTTTTTCAAAATGACATTTTGGTGAAAATTTTCGAAAACTAAACCTGAACCGATATTTACGTTCGTGACATGTTTTCTTCATAATTTTGACCTGATTGTGATTCAGTTGTCAAATTTAGGTTTCAGATAAAACCAAAATCACCAAGAATCAAAATTCGTAAAACAATTTCTGGCTGTTAAATGTCTCAATAAAATCTGATTGCTGGATTGTACTGTTTTTTACTGTGGTTTGCATCTTTAGTACGTTATTATTATGTCACTGAATGATCAAATCAAGGATCAAATGATGAAAATTAAATGCCAATAATTTGGTGTTGGTGGACGACAATGCCCGTCCGCATCGTGCTAATATCGTAAATGAGTATTTAAGGGACCATGATATTGAGAGAATGAATTGGCCACCTTTGTCTCCGGATATGAATCCTATTGAGCATGTGTGGAGCAGGATGAAACTGAAGATGAAAGAGAGGAAAGGACGCATGGAAAATTTGGATGAATTGGTAAATTCGATTCAGGTATAATGGGAAGCCATACCCCAGGAATTTCTAAGGAACTTGGTCTAGGGAATGCCCAGGAGGGTTAACGAATTATTACGGGTTAGGGGAGGGCCAACGAAATATTGAAAGTTATTATTGTTATTGTTTGTTACATTTTTCTGTTGAATGTTGTAGTTTTTATTATGATTATATCTTCGCATAAAATTTTCAAACATGAACAAACAAATTTTGTATTTAACTTTATTACCGATTAGGTAGGTACTTATCAGTAATAAGTTATCACTAGTGCGCAATATAAATGTAATTTATGTAACATTATCCTTACCACTCAAACAAATTGCAGTAATTTCTCCCAAAAAATGAATCCCCAAATGGCATTGGCAAAGGCATGTTATTGAGACATTTAACAGCCAGGAATTGTTTTCGAATTTTGATTCTTGGTAATTTTGGTAAACTTAAATTTGACAACTGAATCACATCAGGAGGTCAAAATTATAAAGCAAACATGTCACGAACGTAAATATCGGTTCAGGTTTAGTTTTCGCAAATATTCTCATGTCATTTTGAAAAAGTGGTCTTTGCTTAGGTTCCTCTGAAATTAATGGAAGTTTGTTGCTTGTCGCTTGTTCAGAATTATTCAAGGAAGGATCTTTCACCATCTTATCTTTTTTATCTTAAAAAGGCTGAGTGTATTGCCTACAAAAAGGCATCAAATGTACTCTTTTGAAAAAAAATCATATTTTTGTTGCTAAGATTCCAATTCGAAAAATTTGAAAAACGTTTTAAGGTAAGACATAATACTTCATTATTTCAAAGTAAAAACGAGAAAAAAATATTTGTTTACAAACGGGGCTTGGATGACATTTTTCACCGTTTTACATATCACCCTGTAGGAAATTTACTTGAAGAACCGTGAGCTTCATATCTATAGCATGAATTTCCAGAGAATGGGGCTAGCAGACATCACAAACCAAAATAAAATCGTTCAAGAAACAAAAAAGTTATGTCGTTTTGAAAAAGGACGAAATTTTTGTTAGCGACACATTGACTGGTGCGCAGTTTATATCGATATATATTCGATAAATATCAAAATTTGGATATTTATTTCTTTTTTTTTATTATAACTATTTTCTGCTTCGAGAATTAAAGAAATACCTATGTTTAAAATTCAAAAATACTTAATTTAATATAATTTCTAACTTGCTGACACTGTCTATAATTATTATTTAGTTTATTAATTTTAATAAATTAATGTTTTGAGTTTATAGTACACTTATAAATTAAAACGCAATCAGTCATTTTCGACTTATAAACTGAACTATAATTATCTTTCACGCTTCCAATACCATAGAGAAAAGTCTATGATGCCTACTATGATCAAAATTGGATTAGCGATTTTTTTTAATAAATATTTAAGAATTGTATTATTTATAATATATAATATGTTATATACAATACATTATCTTATAAAACTAAATAAAAGAATATATACTTTGTAAAACACGTTAGAATTATGCCCTTTGAAGGCCTAACTTGAAAATGATGTCTCTCGTAGAAACATAATTTGCATGTAGAAGTTTATATATCAAATAATATTTAATTATAAGTACTTTAACGTGATATACTCAAAATTATAAAACAACGTTGCTTCTTCCACTTTTTAACCCTTAAAAAATTAAAATAAATTAAATTGTCCCCAGCGCCCCCTGTATGTTAATAGCTAAAAAAAAATACGTGGATTTATTGCCATTAATAAGGTCTACATTTTATCTTAATTTCATATCGATACGTTTTTAAATAAAAATGTTATTACAAAATATCGAAATTTATCTATTTTTAACACAGTAGAGTGACTTAAGGCCTGAAAACCACAGCGGTCAATGGATGGAATTTTTTTTATTTTTTTTTTTTTGAAAAAATGCACCATTTAGATGTAGAAACACTAAAGTGAACCATTTAATGCTGACAGTGATTTTATTGCAACAACTACTCAATAGATAAAAACACTCCAGTTCCGTCTTATAGAAGGTGTCTAATAAAATTACATTTTAATTCGGCAAAAAATCATGAACCAGTCATTTAATTAGAAATTGATAAAAACAACATTTCCATCATTTCGGTGTTGTGTTTCTTGATTATAAGACTTGCTGGTTAATTTCTCCGAGGCATACACATTTTTACCGTGCTTGATTGGCCAAGTGTAGCATTAATGTACACACAGAGGCTCGTTGCGTTATGTGGCGCTGTTCCCACAACGATATTCTTGTCTCGATTTAAAATCGAAATTCCACAAGACGTTTCAATAACATAATTTAATACTTTGCATCTTCTGTTTACAACTTATTATAATTATATTATGGTGTCAATAACAACTAAAACAACAATAAAACATAACCATTTTGATGCTTGACTAGCCATTGTTTTATTATTTAATTTTAATATTAGCACATAAGTCAAAAATATAAAATAAAATATATTCAACTTTTAAACAAAATCCTACCTATTTTAGTTTAAAGTTTAGATGTAAATCAATCAAGCAAATCATAGATGGAATCACCCATATTAAGTAAAATATTAGGAAAATTACGGAGGTGTATGTGCTTTAATATGTTTAATAAAACCAACAGAGGTGTGTGTTTATTATCTGAAACATGCACCTAACAGCAGCTAACAAAACTCTTTTTCAAATCAAGTACAAAACATTTTTTTAAAACATCTTCACAACCGTTAATCTTTGACAGAAGATGAGAAAGATAACATCGCCGAAGAAAAGAAATCTCGTGAAAAGATAGAACTGCCTAAAAAAAGTACAAGCTATAAGAAGTTTCCCTGGTTGCCTAAGGTAGATCAAGAATATTAAAAAGCGATTTTACCAAAGCAGAGCAAGATCAAGCGTCCGAAAGGCAGTAGTAAATAAAACAGGAAAAAAAATGAAAAAGTGATTTTACCAGGACAAACTAAAACGGCAGTAGTTAAAAAGTTGATAAAAAAGGACAAAAAACACAAAAAATTAAATAGTCATGCTAATTTCTATTAACTATGTATTTTTTTAATAGAAAATTTGTTAAAAGTTTTTCTATTTTAAATAGTTTTCTTTTGTAGTTTTTATTTTTTTCAGTTTAGTTCTAATTTTGAAGTTTACCTTAAAAATATCATAGTTCTATGTAACATAAATAATCAATAAATATAATTAATTTTTTTTACAAATTTGTATGTTTTTTTCAAAATTTTACTAATTTCGAAAATAACAACCTTTGAGTCAAAATATACATGAGAATTTACTAAGATTGCATATGAATCGGCTCAAAGGAAAAACAACTGTGAAAAATATTGACTATACCTACCTAAAGGCTGATGGGTATTTTTTGTTTTACGTTTTAGTTAAAATATGTAAATAGTAACATGCAACCTTGTAATATTAGGGTGACGAATATAAGTAGGTAATAAAGGGTAATTCCGTCTTAATTCGCAATTTTGAGAGGAAATATTTTTAAATTTATTTTTTATAAACAGTCATAATTTATAGTAATGTACTTAGTATTAGACCCTACTTAAATAATTACTAATGCGAGCCGTACACTTTTCATATTTTTTTGTGTTTTTTTGAGGAAAAAGGAATACTAGTAACTTTTGTGATTGTCACGTATGTTACTAAAAACGCAAAAATAGATTATTTAAAAAAAATCTTAGTTTTACACTCTAAAATATAGGTAATAGATTATTTTCCAGCTTATATGCTATTTTGTGTTATTTTAAAATAAAAAATATAAAAATTACATGTATAAATCAAAAGAACTGTACTCTGTAACATATGAGACACGCTGGGTAACTATTCTTATCATATCTAACCACAACCCACTTGTTTATCGAAAGATCAATACCATTGTTTTGGAAAACTTCTACGTCCAATGCTTTTTCTTGAAGTATTTGTATTTTCTCCACTTAGCGGTAACTTATGAGGCAGTAACTTATGTGACTTTTCTTGGCTTTTTAAATTTTGTAAACAAGCCGGCAACGTGGGATATAAATCAGATTGCATACATTTAAATAACAAGCCTATTTTAAGATTATGTTATGAACAATTTGTAAAAATAATTAAAATTGCGTGATTTACGTAATAACTTATGTGACTACTAAATAAACATACTCTTCTGATTTTAACAATAACCACAGAACTCACTTTAAGTATATGACACTTTGACTGGAGCCGGTTTCACTGCTATGTTGCCAAGTCCCAAAAATGTTACCGCAATGTAGAAAGTAACTTATGGGACCAAAAACAGGGTGACTAAACTAAAGCTCAAAAAAATACATAAAATAAATCATGTTAAGGTCAAAATCTCTTTTAAAACGAAAATACTACATTATTAATTTGTATTTTTAGTTTAAAAATACTGTTTTCTTAATAGTGTCTGTACAATTTAATTTTAAAGTATAATAAACTGTTGGTGACAGGTAACTTATGTGACATTTTCATCATAGAACGTATTTTTTTTAAATATGAGCAAATTTTAAATTTTTTAGTAATGGCATTTATAAGAAACACTTAAAGGAGTTATTAAGTCAAATTAAAAACTATATAACTAAAATCATTGCCCTAAAACATAAACAAACAAATTTAATAAAATAGAATAAAACTTGGTTTTGTACAATATTGTCAGTTTGTTCAATTTTGACCACGTCATGGACGAAATCAAAAAAAGTGGACAAAATCACAACCCCGGGACCCAACACTCGTTATTTCTTTCAGGTACCGTTCTGGACGAGGCAAAGAACATCAACAAGTCGTTGTCGGCGCTCGGCAACGTGATCAGCGCGCTCGCCGACGGCAACAAGACCCACATCCCCTACCGCGACTCCAAGCTCACGCGCATCCTCCAGGAATCCCTGGGAGGCAACGCCCGCACCACCATCGTGATCTGCTGCTCGCCGGCCAGCTTCAACGAGAGCGAGACCAAATCAACTTTGGACTTCGGCAAGCGAGCCAAGACCGTGAAGAACGTCGTGTGCGTGAACGAGGAGCTCACCGCCGAGGAATGGAAGAGACGGTACGAGAAGGAGAAGGAGAAGGTGGCGAGGCTCAAGGGGAAGGTGGAGAAGTTGGAGGCCGAGCTGGCTCGCTGGAGGAGCGGCGAGACCGTCAGGCCCGACGAACAGGTAAAAAGAGATTTATTTATTCAGGGCTCTGTCATTTAAAACGAAATTTTTTTTTCTTGCTGACACATGAAAATTTTGTATTTTAGGTTGAAAAAAAATTCCCTGAAAATTTGAGCCCTTAACTTTTTTTCTTAGTACTTTTTTAATTTTGTAGTTTTTCCATATAAAAAGCATGTATTTTTAATCATTTTTACTTTAAATTTCTATATTTTGGCCGGGTTTTGAATTATAATTTTTAATACCATAATTTCCTGCATAGTATTCACGGTTTTTGAAAGGCCCTGCCTGTTTTTGATTTATTTACGTTGATTGTAGTAGCTCCAAAAGTCGTTTTTTTCACTTTTTCTCACATATTTTTGAGAAAATCGAGCGAATGACTGGTTTTACCGAAAAAGTTCAAATGAAAAAGTTGTAGGAAATTTAGTTTTTGACAAAAAAGGTTCTTACGTTCATATCACTAAAGTGCTTTGTTTAAGAGATATAAGCAATTCAATAACCAAAAACAAAGAAAAAATAGGTTTTATTGAAATTTATGTAATTTGATTCAACAACTATATATTGCTTATATCTCTTAAACAAAGCACTTTAGTGATATGAACGTAAAAACCGTTTTTGTCAAAAATTAAATTTTCTACAACTTTTTTATTTGAACTTTTTCGGTAAAACCAGTCATTCGCTCGATTTTCTCAAAAATATGTGAAAAGAGTGAAAAAACGACTTTTGGGGCTACTACAATCAACGTAAATAAATCAAAAACAAAATTGATGCAGGGCCTTTCAAAAACCGTGAATAGGTACTATGCAGAAAATTATGGTGATAAAAATTATAATTCAAAACCCGGCCAAAATATAGAAATTTAAAGTAAAAATGATTAAAAATACATGCTTTTTATATGGAAAAACTACAAAATTAAAAAGGAAGTACTTATAATCAAAATTAAGGGCTCAAATTTTCAGGGAATTTTTTTTTCAACCTAAAAAACAAAATTTTCATGTGTCAGCAAGAAAAAAAAAATTTCGTTTTAAATGAAACACCCTAGTCTATACAGGCGACTCCAAATAGGTTGTCATCCTTTAAGGATTTTTTAATAAAAAAATCTATAAAAATTTTATAAGTAAAGTAGAAATTTTGGTCTGCCACTAGTTGTTCCTGACTTACTACAACTGAAGCAAAATTTGCTTGCACAGTGGGCAATAATCTACATTCATTAAAATTTGCTTTTGTGTTATCATTGATTACTTTGTTGATAATTGTTTTTTGTTTTGCATACTCAGCTATTTTTAGGTAGTAAAACCATACTTACTTTAAATTTCAACTTTCACTGTTTACGTCGATTAATGCTCATGAGTTCAACAAAATCATAATAATTGAACTGTCAGTAATCAATGATAACAAAGTACCTACTAACCAGTGGTGAAGCGTGGAGTTTTTGTATAAAACAAATATAAGTTTAAAAGTTTCCTTGATATTCCTTGATATCTAAGTTTTTAATTAATTGTTTTTTTTGCTTGGATAAATAATATCATTGTTTTTATTAAGGCTGGGAATCGATTACGAATAATTCGAATATTCGAGTACTTATTCGAATAGAGGTGAAAATCAATTATAAATTATTCGAGTATTCAAATACTCCAATATTTGAACATTCGAATACTCGAATAGTTAAATACTCGAATATTAAAACATTTTAAATCAGTATATGTAAGGGTGGTGCAAAAAACCAATTTTCGAATATGTTAATTTTATTTCTATTTGTTAAAAAAGTGCTCTCATCATAAATTCATTCATTCATCAAATTTTGAAAATTACAAAAATAATCAAATTTAAATTAAAAATAATATTTTTTTCGCCAAAGTAAATTTTTTTTAAAGGTCGCTCACAAATTTAATTTTTTTTTTTACTAGCGAAAAGTAATAAGTAATTATTAGGGTGATTCATTTCCGCAAAGTTTTTGTTTTTTTTCGGTGCTCAAGCAAAATATTAATCTGCATAAAAAAAAAATGTCACCAAGTTTGAGCTCTTAATATCAATTTTAAGTACTTACTATTTAAATTTAAAGTTTTACCGTTTAAAATGCATGTAAAAAATATTTTTTTTTTTTCAAATTTCTAATGCTTACCCACCTTTGACAATATTGCAAATCGGTTTGATACACCTTGTGGGGAATTTCACGCTCTTCAAAATTGCTTTTGAGTTTTTTTTTGTAACTCGCATTGGTTCACCAGTAGGAGTCGTCAAAGGACAGTTTCTGAAAAAAATCGTTTCAGTAGGGAGAAAAAGGGCTGACTCATAAAAAAAAGTTATCCAACCAATATTTAATGAATTTACAGCCATTTTTATAACTGAAATTGTAAGAAATTGATAAATACCAACCCATAATGTTATTTAGATTAATTTTTTCTATTTATTATCATTATAAACTGATCAAAAAAAATTAAGCATATTTTTGAACAAAGTTGAAATCAAACTCGACTTCGTTCTTTTTTGTCTAATATTCTTTTATTTTTACGTTTTTATTACCAAATAATAAAATAAAATATACAGGGCGTATAAAATTGTATCGTTAAATTTATGTTTTGGTCAAAATATCTTAATATGCTTAACTTTATTCGATTAGTTTATTTCCCTACAGTAAGAACTTTTTAAAATTATTATGATTTCTCTCTCATAATAAATATGAAAACAACATATAAATTCATAAAAAAACAACAAAACTTTAATCGGAATATACAGAAGGTTGTGTTAATATGTAACATATTCCAAATTTCACTTCAAAAAATTAAATAATCTTCATTTATATTTTTTTGCTATATGAAATGTTGAAAAATTGCAAAATCCACGTTACAATATTATTCTTGTTGTTTTTTATGAATTTATCTGTTGTTTTCATATTCATTATGAGTGAGAAGAAATCATAATAATTTTAAAAAAGTTCTCCCTCTCCCTCTGTAGGGAAATATAATGATAATAAATAGAAAAAATCAATCTAAATAACATTATGAGTTGGTAATTATCAATTTCTTACGTTTTCAGGTATAAAAATGGCTGTAAAGTCAGCCCTTTCTTCTCCTTACTTTTGGCGGTTTGTTCGAAAAAATTAAAAAAAAAAACGATATTTTTCAAAAACTTTACTTTGACGACTCCTACCGATGAACCAATTTGAAGTGAAAATTTTTAACCATTTTTTGAATTTTCAAAATTATTGTGCGACCATTAATTTTTAAAGAGTGTTTTTAAAGCATGATAAACTAATGTTATTACATAGGAGACTCGAATAAATCTGTTTTTTGCGGAGAAAAATTTATAGCCTAGAGAACTTTAACATTTTATAATAATTATTATTATTATAATCTTTTTGATAAGTAAAAAACAGATACCTACAATATTAAGTATTATAAGAAGTTTTATTAAATCTCTAGATTGGCTCAAAAATATCTAAAACTTCATTGGACCATTATTTGAATATTCGATTACTCAAATAAGTCGAATATTTCAAACAAGTATTCGAATTTCTAAAACTAAAAGATTTTAGAGGTAAAAACAATGATATATAGGATAGGTCAGTGATATCCAATGGCTTCCTGGTTTAGTCAGAAAAATTTCACATTTTGTTTTATTAAAAAACAGTAAGGCTAATGCAAAAATGATAGAGAACAAATTTTCTTGTTTTGGCGTGTACCATCATCCCCCTAAAGGATGACAATTTATTAGGTAGAACCCTGTATTTTCCATTTCTCAGGTAAACTTCAACGAGGTATCCGAGGCGGTCACCCCGGTGTCAGCCGCAATGGAAGAGAGCATCATCGAAGCGCCAAAGTCGGGCCCGATGCCGGCCACGCCAGCTCTGATGATCGGCTCCACGTTGGGCGTGGAAGAAAGGCAAAAGCTGGAGCTGGAGCGCGAGAAGCTCTACCAGCAGCTGGACGAGAAGGACGAGGAGATCAACCAGCAGAGTCAGTACGTGGAAAAGCTGAAGGAACAGATGCTGGAGCAGGACGAGTTGATCGCGGCCACGCGTAGAGATTACGAGGCGTTGCAGGCGGAGATGAACAGGATACAGCAGGAGAACGAGAGCGCCAAAGAGGAGGTCAAGGAGGTCCTGCAGGCCTTGGAAGAGCTGGCCGTGAACTACGACCAAAAGTCGCAGGAGGTCGACGCCAAGAACAAGGAAATGGAGTCCCTCTCGGAAGAGTTGATGCAGAAGCAAGCCACTTTGAACACCACCACCACGGAGCTGCAACAGCTGAGGGACGTTAGCAGTCACCAGAAGAAACGAATCGCCGAGATGCTGAGCAACCTGCTGAAGGAGTTGGGCGAGATCGGTACCACTCTGGGGAGCGAGAGCAGCGAGATCAAAATTTCGAACGACGCGGCGAAACTGGAGGAGGAGTTCACCGTGGCGCGGCTCTACATCTCGCGCATGAAGAGCGAGGTGACTAACCTGTCGCAGCGGCTGCAGGACATCGAGAACAAGGAGCAGGACAGCAACCGCAAGGTGACCGAGTACGAGAAGGAGCTGGGCGAGTGCAAGCTGCTCATCTCGCAGCACGAGGCGCGCGTCAAGAGCCTGCAGGAGTCGATCCGCGAGGCGGAGAACAAGAAGCGCGCCTTGGAGGAGAACGTGGACGCGCTGAGGGAGGAGTGCGCCAAGCTGAAGGCGGCCGAGCAGGTGTCGGGCGCCAGCGAGAGCGAGAAGAAGGAGGCCAACGAGCTGCGCGTCGCTTTGGAGCAGCAGATGGACCAGCTTACCGTCGCTCATCAGAAACAGGTGGCCGCCCTTAGGGACGAGATCGCCGAGAAGCAACAACTCATCAACGATATTAAAGAGTAAGTTAGAATTTGTTCTTATAAGCTCTTAATTTATGTAAGCGCGTTAGAAGTTTTATTTCTTTCGTCGAAGAACAATGAAAACTTTGGATATTCTGAAAATTTTCACACACCTTATCGAAAACCTTTGCAATCAGTGTTGCCAAATTTTCAGCTTTAATATTTATAGCCAAAACTATGACTTGCTTTATTGACGACAAGCTTACGTAATGGCAAGCTTAAATGATGAAAATCTTAAACGACAAGTTTAAATAATGACAAGCTTAAATGATGACAATGTTAAACGACAAGCTAATTGACAATCTTAAACGACGACAAGCTTAAATGATGACAAGGTTGAATGACAATCTAAAATTACACAAGAAGCTTAAATAATGACAATTTTAAACGACGACAAGTTTAAATAATGACAAGGTAAATGACAATCTAAAATGTCACAACAAGCTTAAAAGACGACAAGATAAAATGACAAGGAGCTTAAATGACGGCAAGCTAATAAAAGCTTAAATAAAAAAAAAGTTAAATGACGACACACTTAAATAGTGACAAGGTTAAATGACAAGCTCAAATAATGACAAGCTTAAATGACGGCAATATAAATGACAAGGAGCTTAAATAACGGCAAGCTAATATATCAAGCTTAAATAATAAAAAGGATAAATCACGACAAGCTTAAATGAGGGCAAGTTAAAATAACGAAAAGCTTGAATGAAAAAGGTTAAATGACAATAAGCCTAAATAATGATAAGCCAAAATGATGGCAAGCTCAAATGATGCCGGCAAGCTAAAATTACAAGCTTAAATAATGACAAGCTAATATGACCAGCTTAAATATTAAGAAGGTTAAATAACGACAAGTTTAAATGATGACAAGCTTAAATAATCTAATCTTAAATGATGGCAAGCTCAAATGATGCCGGCAAGCTAAAATTACAAGCTTAAATAATGACAAGCTAATATGCCCAGCTTAAAGAATAAGAAGGTTAAATAACGACAAGTTTAAATGATTACAAGCTTAAATAATCACAATCTAAAATGATGGCAAGGTTAAATGACGGCATGTTAATATGACAAGCTTAAATAATAAGGTTAAATCGCGACAAGCCTAAATAACGACAAGCTTAAATAGTAACAAGCTAAAATGACGACAAGCTTAAATGAGGGTAAGCTAAAATGACGATAAGCTTGAATAATGACAAGGTTAAATGACGATAAGCCTTAATAATGATAAACTAAAATGATGGCAAGCTTAAATGACGGCAAGCTAATATGACAAGCTTAAATATAAAGAAGGTTAAATCTCGACAAACATAAATAATGACAAGGTTAATGATAAGCTTGAATAATGACAAGGTTAAATGACGATAAGCCTAAATAAGAATAAGCTAAAATGATGGCAAGCTAAAATTACGACAGGCTTAAATGACGGCAAGCTAAAATAATGGCAAGCTGTAATGACGACAAGCTATAGCTATATTATAATATGACAAGCTTAAATAATAAGAAGGTTAAATGACGACAAATTAAAATGATGGCAAGCTAAACGATAAGCTTGAATAATGACAATGTTAAATGACGATAAGCCTAAATAATGATAAACGTTTAAATGAGAATAAGCTTAAATAATCACAATCTAAAATGATGGCCAGCTTAAATGACGGCAGCTAACAACCTTAAATACTAAGAAGGTTAAATGACGATAAGCCTAAATAATGATGGGCTAAAATGATGGCAAGCTTAAATAATGCTGAAAAGCTAAAATTACGACAAGCTTAAATAATGACAAGCTAAAATAATGGCAAGCTTAAATGACGGCAAGGTAATATGACAAGCTTAAATAATTATTATTAAATAAGAAGGTTAAAGGACGACAAGTTGAACTGATGGTAAGCTAAAACTACGATAAGCTTAAATAATGACAGCAAAAATGATGGCAAGCTTAATTAGGCGGCAAGCCTATGTTACGACAAGCTTAAATAATGGCAAGCTAAAATGATGGCAAGCTTCAATAATGACAATCTTAACGACGACAAGTTTAAATAATGATAAGCTAAAGTGATGTCAAGGTTAAATGACAATCTAAAATGACACAACAAGCTCAAATAATGATGGCCAGAAAATATGACAAGCTTAAATGACGACAAGATAAAATGTTAAGTTAAATGACGAAAAGCATAAATGATGACAAGCTAAAATGACGACAAGCTCAAATGAGGGCAAGCTAAAATGACAATAAGCCTAAATAATGATAAGCTAAAATTACGACAAGCTTAAATAGTGACAAGCTAAAGCAATAGCAAGCTTTAATGACGGCAAGCTAATATGATAAGCTTAAATAATAAGAAGGATAAAAGACGACGTTTAAATGATGACAAGCTTAAATACTCACAATCTAAAATTATGGCAAGCTTATATGACGGCTAGCTAATATGACAAGCTTAAATAATAATAAGGTTAATTCACCACAAGTTTAAATGAGGGCAAGCTAAAATGATGATAAGGTTAATTGACGATAAGCCTAAATAATGATGAGCTAAAATGACGATAAGCTTAAATAATAACAAGGTTAAATGGCATTAAACATAAATAATGATAAGCTAAAATTACGACAATCTTAAATAATTGACAAGCTAAAATGATGCCGGCAAGTTTGAATAATGACATGGTTAAATGACGATAAGCCTAAATAATGATAAGCTAAAATAATGGCAAGCTAATATGACAAGCTCAAATAATAAGAAGGTTAAGTGACAAGTTTAAATGATGACAACTTTAAATGACAACAAGCTTAAATGTTCACAATCTAAAATGATGGTAAGCTAATATGACAAGCTTAAATAATAAGAAGGTTAAAGACGACAATCTTAATTAATGACAAGCTTAAATGACGACAAGCTAAAATATTGGCAAGCTAAAATGACGATAAGCTTGAATAATGACAAGGTTAAATGACGATAAGCTTAAATAATGATAAGCTAAAATGATGGCTAGTGTAAATGATGTCGGCAAGCCGAAATTACGACAAGCTAAAATGATGGCAAGCTTAAATGACAACAAACCTAAATAACGCCAAATAAATTGACAAAATATTTTAATAGCGACAAGCTTAAATGAGGACAAAGTTATCGAAAACCATTGCAACCAGTGTTGCCGTCCCCACAAATGATCCAGGTGGAGTTTGAATTCAGATCAAATTCAGTGCTTTCCTCCTAGAAACTGAAATTTCAGTTTTTTTAATTAATTTCAAATTATTGCCATCCACATTGTTGCGTGCTTATTAACACACATACCTATACCTATACACAATGTCATTTAAGAAATCCCCCTAAAGCCTTTTAAAAAAACACTAAATCTAGGGGGAAACCCCTTATCTGACAACACTGATTTTTAAGGTTATATTATTTCAAGATGTTTTGTGCTGCAAATCGATTTTTACTAGGATGCCATTTAATTTTCTTTTGTTTTTAGTTCCAACCAAAAGTTGTCGCTGGCCCAGCAGCAGTTGCAGAGCGATTACGAGAAAGTGAAGTCGGAAGAGACGGAAAAGTCCCACAAGCTGCAGGAATTGATGTCAGTTGACGATAAAATCTTAAGTAGAAAAAATTCCAAACGCTCAATCCCTCGCTCCGACACCAACAAATCCTCGCCCAAAAAGTCCCCCATCCCGAATCCCGCCGCCTACTTAAAAAGACCCAAGTCGCCCGCGTGGCAGGATTTCGCGCCTTACAGGGGTGGGTTCGGTTCGGACTTCGAGGCGTCCAAGTCGCACAAGGACGCGCTCAACAACCTAAAGCGGTTCAATCAGGGCTGCCACTTGCACACGCTGCATCTGCACCTGCTCTTCTCGCTCACCCTCTTGCTAGTCACGCATCGCTGTCCGCAGTACCTCGTCCTCAAAATCGTCTAAGTCGAGTCTCGAAGCGGGTTTTTTCCTTTCGAACGGCGTGCGTAACGGTCTCGAAGTCTTGCAGAAAATGCATATCAAATCGCTTATTTTCATAGCCCACTCGCAATTTTAATTGTTTAGAGAGAAAAGTCTTCCAAATTACAAAAAACGCTAAAGAAAAACTGTAAGGTAAGTCTTAGTGAGTGAAAGAAATTTTGCCATTTTGCAGTTTAGGCGAGTTCAATGTAAAACAAAATATTACTTTACTAAAGGTTTTTTTATGTAACGAAAATCGGTTATAACTTGTTTCTCGTTCCGATTCTTTGTAAAAAGGTTAAAATTCTGAAAATAATTTATTTTAAAGGTCAAGTGTTCATAAAATTGTATTTTAAAAAATGCAAGAGTGAATTTTTCTGAAAATTTCCAAATTTTTACGGATAACATCCGTACACTGAGAAAAAATTTCTGACGCTGATTATAACCATAATATTATGATTATAATAATTATTCCTTTTATTTTAATGAATCACTGAAGTAAGAATATTCTACTGGGCCTGAAAAAAACATATTCGGTGCTGTATTAACATAACTTTCATTTGACACTTCGATTTATAAAATTATAATTTTGTAATTTAACTTTATAAATCATTCCTTACTTTGTAGTTGGATATTTTTAATGGACCCCTTTTTGCAAAAAAGACTCAACCGCGGTGTGCCTGAACGAAGTTTAAGTCACATAAAAATGCCGCCAAAAACTGATTGCAGTTTTTTGTTCGGGACCCTTTGGTGACTTAAAAATGATATTTACCAAAATTTCGAAATTTTTTGAAAATTCATGATTTTTTTTTAAATTTTTGTTTATTTCAAAGTCTACCTTTGACAGAGTACACATTTGTACACCGATTTTTATAAAATTAGAGTCCTATATTGAGGATATTGAGGAGACCTAAAGAATACTTTTTAATACTATTCACATCATTTGATATATACAGGGTGAGCCAAAAATCGCTTATTTTTAATAAAGCAAAAGCGTAAATTCATGATTTTGGCAAAACACGCAAAAAAGATTTATCCCCATTTTTTTTAGATATTTCTACTTTTATCAGGTTACAAAATGGCATTCTTATTAACCTTTTATAAAAAAATAGATTTTTAATAAAATTAAATAAAATAACGCTTGGGAAATATTTAAAATGTTGTTTAATTTAGGCTTTTTAGTAGTTTTCAATTTTGAACGAAAAACTGGTTAAAGTTTTTTGATCGGAACTCTTTGGAGATTTAAAAACGATATTTACCAAAATTCTAACTGCTTTTTTTAAAATTTGTTAAAAAATCTTTTTTTTTTTAATTATTTGTTTATCGCAAAGTCTACCTTTTCCAGAGTACACATTTGTACACCGATTTTTATAATATTGGAGTATATTGTTAACGAGACTTGGAGAATACTGTTTTCATACTGAGCACATCATTAGATTTATACAAGGTTAGCCAAAATATTGCACAAAAAAGATTTACCTCCAAAAAATGTTATTTTATTTAATTTTATTCAAAATCAATTTTTTTTATAAAGTCTTAATAAGAATCCCATTTTGTAGCCTGAAAATATCTAAAAACACATGGGTGTGTATATTTCTTTTTTGCGTGGTATGCCAAAATTACGCTTTTGCTTTATTAAAAGAAGCGATTTTTGGCTAACCCGGTATATATATTTTAAATGAAGTGCACAGTATAAAAAAGTATTCTCCAAATCTCCTTAACAATATACTTCAATATTATAAAAATCGGTGTACAAATTTGAGCTCTGTCAAAGGTTGACTTTAAGATAAACAAAAATTTAAAAAAAAAATCATGATTCTCAAAAAAGGGGAGCAGCTAGGATTTTGGTAAATATTTTTAAGTCACCAAAGGGTCCCAAACAAGAAACTGCAATCAGTTTTTGGCGGCATTTTTATGTGACTTAAACTTCATTCAGGCACAGCGTGACCGACAGTAATTTAATGTTTACATTTATTTTCTTAAATCAATTTAATTTAAGCAAATATTAAAAATATTTCCCAACACCAAAACAGTCAACCTTATTTTATAATTAGTATAAATATGGCTTCTAAAGACGCCAACATAATTGGCGAAAAGTACTTTAAGCACTTTGTGTTTTGTTTTGGTGTTCTAATATTTGTTTAACATATGAAGAAATTTCTCCTTTTTCAAGTATAAATCTAATTTAATTCAATGTTTAGGTTTTTTTTGTAATAAAGGATTTTTTTTTAATTAAAATAATGTTAAGTTGTTTATTGCTACTTTTTTTCAAAAAAGGCAATTTTTCTAAGGCCTGAAAAAACGGAAAAAACAAGTTTTCCCCCAATTTTTTTTTCGACACTTTAAAAACCTAACCATGTTGTATAAAACCATAAATTAATAATATTTCTACTAGGAACTAGAGAATAAAAAAAGTTAAAGAAGTTTAAAAAATTTACATTTATTATTATTATTTTAACTCGCAAATTTAAAAAATATAATAAAAAAGCCTTATTATGTTTATTAAAAAAATGTCGACGTTTTATAACGCAAGTAATACATAGGCGACTTAAAAGTAAAAAAAGGGACATTTCGAATATTGAACTCATTTTTTTTTTAAACAAAAATTTAAAAAAAAATATTTTGAAAACAAACTGCCACTCGCTACGACTTAACTTTCTTTAAAAATTAAAACCAAAAGAGACTGAGACCGTTATTCACACAAACCACCGTCTTATCTTATTTTTTATTAATTTATTATTTTTATTTAGTTATATCCGTAGTATTATTTAGTATTTAGATACGCATTTATCTTGCAAAAATAAGGTTAATATTTTTTTTGACAAGCAGGAGGATGGTTGTGAGTAAAAGGTCCAAGTCTTGATAATTTGTTCTATTTTATAAATAAGCTTGCAAAACTTGTAAATACGTATTTTTTAAATCAACCTAGTGTCATAATAAAAATACTGTGATATTTTTGGATAATGCTGTAGAATTTTTAGTGTGCCTATAAAGCGACTTGGGTCTTTACATACAGCTTTCCTTCAGCTTTGTAACTGAAAAAATCAGTTTTTTTACAACGATTCCTTATTTTTGTAATAATCCTCCTCAACAACTATCACATTTTAAAATGCATTAAGTTGTAAGGGATAAATATATTTACTATATTTATCCCTTTATATCTGCTGTATTTTGAGGTGTCCCGCATTTAGTTTCCATTCCTGTGATTAGTTTTAAGTTTTTTATTTTATTTTTTTCGATAATGTTCCGCCACTTTACACTGCATTTAGTATTGGTTAAGTTTTATTTTTTTTATGTTATCACGTGCGTAAATCATAGCTTTTATGTTAACCCGTCCTTCAGTAAGCCACTGCCTGTTTATTTATTATTTTTTGTTTTTAAAACCGCGCGCATCGCGTTGAATCGAGGTAAAAATAATTTTAGTGAGGAACTCGTGACAGACAATACACAAAATACTAAAATTTAAACTAATATCTCACAGTACTACATTCGTAAAAGTGAATTTATGTAAAAATGTAAATAATAACGCGTTCTTGTATATAAAATTAATGTAAATATGTGTATTTGCAAATATTCTATTTTTCTTGATTATAAAAAACACGGGTGTAACAGTATCTATTTTTGCCCGTAAATGAACATAGAAATATATAGCTATAGCGTGATTATGTAACTTATTGTTAACTAATTATAAGTAATTAACTAATTTCGTTGATTCATGTTCACTTAGAGATAAAAACGTTAATTTAAAAAAATGTAAAATCTCAACAAAAAAAAATGACTCAATTGTTAAGTCTCGGAGTAAAAATTCTTGCTAAGCATATAACTAAAAAAAACTAAGACCTGACCAAAATATCCGTGAGCGATTTGTTCAAATAAAAATCGTCGCAACGGTGTATGGTGGTGGTGGCATTATTAAAACACGCACACAAAATTGTCCTGAAAATGGATGTTAATCTTCAGAGCCACCAATGAGAGGAGGGAACAGGCCAGAAAAGACCTCAAAGGACTCGAGGACACCGTTTCCAAGGAACTGCAAACTTTGCATAACCTTCGCAAACTTTTCGTACAAGATTTACAGGTAAAGTATTATATTTTTCTATCAGAATGACCGAAAAGTTCGTTTAGAGTTATTTACACGTGCATTAAAATGATTACAAGCTAAAATGACGAGAAGCTTAAATAATGACAATTTAAAAGTACAAGCTTAAAATATGACAAGGTAAATGACAAGCTTAAATAATGATCAGCTTAAATGACGACAAGCTTAAATAATGCAAGCTTAAATGACGACAAGCTTAAATAATGCAAGTTTAAATGACGACAAGATAAATTAATGACAAGATAAAGTGATGGTAAGCTAAAATGACCACAAGCCCAAATATAGATGACTCATGACAAGCTTATATAAAAACGCTAAAATGATGGCAAGCTTAAATGACGTAAAGCTAAAATGACAGGTTTAAATAATGAGAAGCTTAAATGACGGCAAGCTAAACTAATGACAACCTAAAAGGAAGACAAACTAATGACAAGCTTAAATGAAGGCAAGCTGAAATAACAACCAGCTTAAATATAGACGACCTAAAATGACGTTTAAAAAATCTGCTTAAATATAGTGGACCTAAAATGGGACGCTTAAATAATGACAAGCTAAAATTTCAACAAGCCTAAATAATGACGGGAAGCTTAAATAATTTAACCTTAAATGATGACCACGTAATTCACGAACAAGTTTAAATAGTGACAAGCTAAAATTATGGCAAGCTAAAATGACAAGCTTAAATAATGACAATTTAAAAGTACAAGCTTATATAATGATGCTAAAGTGATGGCGAGCTTAAATGACAACCAGCTTAAATATAGACGACCTAAAATGACAAGCTAAACTAATGACAAGCTGAAATGACGACAAGTTTAAAAAAGAGCTTAAATATAGTGGACCTAAAATGGGACGCTTAAATAATGACAAGCTAAAATTTTAACAAGCCTAAATAATAACGAGAAGATTAAATAATTTTACCTTACATGATGACCACGTAATTGACGACAAGCTAAAATGACGACAAGCCTTAATATGGACAACCTAAGATGGCAAGTTTATATAATGACAAAACTAAATGACGGCAAGCTAAAACAACAAGTTTATATAGTGACAAGCTAAAATGACAAGCTTAAATAACGACAAGCTAAAATGTCGACAAGTTTAAATAATGACAAGCCTAAATTACGGCAAGCTTTAATAATAAAAATCTGAAATGACGACATGCTTAAATATAGACGACCTAAAATGACAAGCTATAATGCCGAGAAGCTTAAATAATTTTTAGTTAAAATGACGAACTTTAATGACAACAGCGTAGATGACGACAATCTAAAATGATGGCAAGCTTAAATATGGACGACCTAACATGGCAAGTTTAAATCATGACAAGATTAAATGAAGGCAAGCTGTAAGCACAAGTTTAAATAGTGAATAGTTAAAAATATGGCAAGCTTAAATGACGGCAAGCGAAAATGACAAGCTTAAATATTGGCAAGCATAAATGCCGCCAAGCTAAAATGACGATATGCTTAAATATAGACGACCTAAAATGACAATATTAAATAACGGCAAGCCTAAATATAGACGACTTAAAATGACAAGCTTATTAAGCTTCAATGGCAGCAAACCTAAATAATGATACGTTAAAATAATGGAAAGCTTAAATGACGAAAACATTTCCAGCCTAAATAATGACAAGCTTAAATAATAAAAAGCTAAAATGACGACAAGCTTAAATATAGACGACCCAAAATTGCGCTTGAATAATGTCAAGCTAAACTAAGCTTTAATGACAACAAACTTAAAGAATGATACGTCAAAATGATGGCATGCCTTAATGACAAAATTTCCAGTTTAAATAATGACAATCTAAAATGACGACAAAGGTTGTCATTTTAGGTCGTCTATATTTAAGATTTTTATTACTTAAGCTAAATAATAAAAAGCCAAAATGACGACAAGCTTAACTAAAGACGATTTTAAATGACAAGCTTAAATCCATAATGATAAAATGACAAAATTTCCAGCTTAAATAACGACAAGCTAAAATGACGACAAAGCTTGTCATTTTGGGTCGTCTATTTTTAAGCTTTTTATTATTTAAGCTAAATAATAAAAAGCTAAAATGACGACAAGCTTAACTAAAGACGACCTTAAATGACAAGCTTAACTAAAAACGACCTTAACAGACAAGCTTAAATACGTAATGAAAAAATGACTAAATTTCCAGCTTAAATAACGACAAGCTAAAATGACGACAAATCTTGTCATTTTGGGTCGTCGATGACAATCTTAAATAAAGACGACCTTAAATGACAAGCTTAAATAATAATGAGCTAAAAGGAAGAAAAAAAGCTTAAATAATGACCAGCTTAAATGACGGAAAGCCTTAATAATAAAAAGCTAAAATGCCGCCAAGCTTAAATATAGACGACCTATAATGACAAGCTTAAATAATGACAAGCTTAACAAAGCTTCAATGACAATAAACTTAAATAATGATAAGTTATAATGATGGCCAGCTTAAATGACGATAAACCTAAATAATAAAAAGCCAAAATGACGACAAGATTAAATTATGTTCAAGACAAGCTTAAATAACGACAAATTTAAATATGTAAAGCTAAAATGACAATGAATTTATGTTTTAAAAAATTCTATAAACTTTATAGTATAAAGTAGATTTGTATTTCTGAAAACGAACTAAATAAAGAATACTCTAAAGAGTTAATAATTTCTTTGGTGCTAATAATCTTGTCGCTTAGGCGCGTATGAAGAAGAACCTGTCCTCGGAGGATGTGGACGAAGACGGCGGTTCTCTGGCGCAGAAGCAGAAGATATCGTTCCTCGAGAACAACCTCGATCAGCTGACCAAAGTGCACAAGCAGCTGGTGCGCGACAACGCCGACCTGCGCTGCGAGCTGCCCAAGCTCGAGAAACGTCTGCGCGCCACCATGGAGCGCGTCAAGGCCTTGGAAACGGCGCTCAAGGACGCCAAGGAGGGCGCCATGCGCGACAGGAAAAGGTACGTCAGTCTTGCGATTTTATGTGGGGAATTCCACGTGAATTCGGCACGAAAAAATCCCTTGCCGTTTCTAAATTCCTCGGCAATTTTTCCATGGGTTACCTAACTCAAAATAAAAATTCAATTTTAATTTAAGCACGGTTTATCAATTGTTTTTGGAGATATGATTTTTTAAATTTTCATGATATAACGATTTTGCCAATATATCATCGATCATAATTTTGGTTCCAATTGACCGATTCCGACGAACGATCAATCATCTTTTTGTCTTGAAACAAGCTATTTGAAATAAATATATTTGATGCTGTGGCGGCATATCGGTATTTTTTTGTTTTTAATCTTTATGCGAATACAAGTTTTTTTATCTACAGGGTGTTGTGTACCTAATGTTATATATTAAAATACTGAATACCTTTTGACATAAGGAGTAAAGAAAAAATATTTAAAAAAATATTTTTCCAAAGGTAAAGAAAAAGTATGCATTAGAAGTTTTTTATATTTTTTGTGATACGCCACTGGTTACACACTTGGTTTATCTCTGCACACTTGTGTTCTGTGAGTACATAGATACCAACCAACAAAGTAGCTGCGCGTTGCCAGATGTAAAAAAATTTTACTAAAAATTTTTCTTGCAAAAAATAAATAAAAACTCAATAAATACGAAAGTTTTATGCCCTTAAAGCTCTAATACCCTACTGTATTTATTTACTCATCCAGCTATTAGCTTAAGCAATGATTAGAAAATTTAGTACGTATTTTAAAAAATCCATAACCACAAAATTAATGTTTTCATCAGTTTTTTCTTTCTGTTTACTCAGATAAAAGCACTTCCCTTAGTTAAGATATTTACAATTTGAGCACATAACTTAAAATTTGAAAGAAATGCATTAGATTATGTCATAAAAGTTGGCAGATTTTGTTTGAATTTACCTTCAGTACAAAAATGACATAACCAACAATTAATAAAAACGCCAAATTGACAATTTGCATTGTTAATTTTGTCATTTTTGTAATTAAGCTAAATTTAAACAATGTTTGTCAACTTTTTTGACAGATTTTGGAAACGCTGTTGTTACCAACCATAACATAATAAATTAAATTAGGCAACCAGATTAGCCTAAAGTTCCTAGTCGATCAGTGGCGTACTTTTTGGTAGGATAAAGGTTATTATAAATTATTTTTAGACTTTTCAGGTGCATCTTTATGGACCCTAAGGAATAACCCATTTTAATATATAACATTAATTACCTAACACCCTGTATATTAGATCGTGCGGCCATTCCACGCGTAACGGATGGGACATTTGCATGTTTTTATTTACAAAATAACGTTGTTCTATTATATTACTAATGCCAAATTTGTATAAATAGTTCTAAACAAAAGCTGTGTAACAAGGTTTTTATTTGGCAAAATTAGGTATCGTGATTGACTGTTTAATTCCTTAAAAATTAATTTTTTTATTCAAAAACAGTACTAGTAGTCTTTTTAAACAGACAACCACGATACCTAATTTTGCCAAATAAAAACCTTGTTAAACAACTTTTGTTTAGAACTATTTAAAAAAAATTGACATTAGTAATATAATAGAACAATAGTATTTTGTAAATAAAAACTTGCAACTGTCCCATCCGTTACGCGTGGAATGGCGCGTGGCTATCGAAAAATTAATTACTTTTTCGGAATTTGAAATTTTAATAATTTCAATTTTTTCCACTTTCGGACATTTTGTAATATCAAAAAGATTTTTTTTATTTAATCTTTTTATATTTAGCCCTTTTAACTTTTAAAATTGTTTGAAAAAATTAAAGGGAACTGCCTATGAATATATAGTAAAATGATTGAATATTTTATTTTCAATCTGAAAATAATTATTAATTTCATATCTCCAAAAACAATTTATAAACGCTTAAAAAATTGGCGAGAAATTTCAAAATGGCAAGGTTTTTTTCGTGTCGAATTTACGTGGAATTCCCCATATACTTTTGACAATGAACCGTCAAAAAATATCCACAAACATTCGACATGTGTCTATTTTTGTCTTGCTTTTGCTGTAAAAAACGACCGCGAAAGTAGAGTAGAGCAACTTTTTGCAAGCATCCTAAAACTGTGCTCGTTTCAGGTACCAATACGAGGTGGATCGCATCAAGGAAGCTGTGAGGCAGAAGAACTTGGCGCGAAGAGGTCCTGCGGCCACCATTGCCAAACCTATCCGGTCCGGGCAACACCATGCAGTAAGCATTACTGGCGGCGTTGCCATACGCACCGGCGGCACGCCCACCAAGCCAATGGACGAGTCCATCAAGCGCAAATCACTCATCATGGATAAAGGTAAAAAATGTTTTTGAAATTAAACTTTATCCAAAATTTACATTTTTTAAATCTCCTATTTTGAAAGATTTATAAATTTAGGAATACAAATTTTGAAAAGTGAAGTTTTTAAAATTTTCATTTGCAAATTTCCAAAATTTATAAAAAAAATTCAAAATTTACCTCTTTTTAATTATACTAAATTTTTAAATTAAAAAAAATTTCTAAATTTTTAACTCTAAAACCGGACAAATTTTTAAATGAAAAATATTTTAAAATTGACAAATTTTAATTTTTTAAAACAGGACACTTAAAAAATTTCAAAAACTATATTTTCAAAATTACAAAAAATTACACCTTTACACAAATTTTGATTTTCTAAAACCAGACAAATTTTTAAATCAAAAATATTTTAAAATTTAAAAAAATTGAAATTTGCTAAATTATTAAAATTTACTAAATATTTAAACATTCCAAAATTTTTAAAATAAAATATTTTAAAATTTACAATATTTTTTAAATTTACAAAATTTTTAAAATAGCTTATTTACTAAAATTTTATAATTATAAAATTTACAAACGTTTTTAAAGTAAAATTTCAAAATTTACATAAATTTACTTATATTTTTATTATCTCCTATCTTCCATAATTAAGTTTTATAAATTTAGGAAATTACACAAGTTTGGGAAAGTAATTAATTTTAAATTTCCATTTACAAATTTCCAAAATTTATAAAAAATTTCAAAATTTACTTACATTTTTATAATCTCCTAATAAATATAGGAAATTTAGGAAATTATACAAATTTTGGAATGTGAATTTTTTAAAATTTCCAAAATTTATAAAAAATTCAAAATTTGTCTCTTTTTAAATATACTAAATTACAAAATTTACACAATATTGATTTTCTAAAACCGGACAAATTTTTAAATCAAAAATTGACAAAAATTTTGATTTTTTAAAACAGGACACTAGATTTGCTAAATTTTTAAACATTCCAAAATTTTTAAAATAAAATATTTTAAAATTTACAATATTTTTTAAATTTACAAAATTCAAAAATTTTCAAAATAGGTTTTTTACAAAATTTTTATAATTATAAATTTACAAACGTTTTTAAAGTAAAATTTCAAAATTTACATAAATTTACTTACATTTTTATTATCTCCTATCTTCCATAATTATGGAAGTTTTATAAATTTAGGAAATTACACAAGTTTGGGAAAGTAAATTTTTTTTAAATTTCCATTTGTAAATTTCCAAAATTTATAAAAAAATTCAAAATTTACCTCCTTTTTAAATTTACTAAATTTTTGACATTTTGAAAACTAGAAATTCTGGATTATGAAAATTTAAAATTTGTGTTTCCTAAATTTTTAAAACTTTGATTTTCTAAAACAAAGGATTTTAAAAAATTTCAAAATCTTTGAAATAAAATATTTTAAAATTTGCAAAATTTACGAAATAGGTTATTTACAAAAATTTATAATTATAAAATATACAAACGTTTTTAAAGTAAAATTTCAAAATTTACCAAAATTTACTTACATTTTTATAATTTCCTAATAAATATAGGAAATTTAGGAAATTATACAAATTTTGGAAAGTGAATTTTTTTAAAATTTACAAAATTAAGTTAATAAAATTTCCTAAATTTTTAACTTTCAAACTTACAAATTTACACAAATTTTGATTTTCTAAAACCAGACAAATTTTCAAATCCAAAATATTTTAAATTTGCGAAATTCTAAAATTTTCAAAATAGGTTATTTACAAAAATTTTCTTACATTTTTCAAAAATATTAATCAAAATTGGTTGTATTAAAATATGGGATTTGGTAATTTAAAGAGGAAGTTTTTTTCAAAGGAGATATGGATGTAAATATTTGGAATGTAATAGATGAGAAGAGATAATGTAAAGAAAGATTTATTATGATAAATATATGTATAAGAAGAGTTAAGTGTAGCGAGTTAATAATAATAAATAATAAATAATTTTTATAATCTCCTATTATGGAAGTTTTATAAATTTAGGGAATTGTACAAATTTTGGAAAGTGAAAAATTTTAAATTTCCATTACCAAATTTCCAAAATGTATAAGAAAATTCAAAATTTACCTCTTTTTAAAATTTACTAAATTACTAATTTTTTTTAAATACCTAATAATAAATAATTTTTATAATCTTCTATTATGGAAGTTTTATAAATTTAGGGAATTATACAAATTTTGGAAAGTGAAAATTTTAAAATTTCCATTACCAAATTTCCAAAATGTATAAAAAAAATTCAAAATTTACTTCTTTTTAAAATTTACTAAATTTTTGACATTTTATAAGTTAAGAATCAAACTTTTTAAATTTCCATTTACAAATTTACTAAATTTTTGACATTTTGAAAACTAGAAATGTTACATTTTGTAAATTTAAAAAATTTCCCAAATTTTTAAAACAAAATTTTCAAAATTAAAAAATTTACACAAATTTTGATTTTCTAAAACCAGACAAATTTTTAAATATTTTAAAGTTTACAAAATTTTTTAAAAATACTTATTTTTAAAATTACTAAATTGTTGACAAATTTTGAAAACTAGAAATTCTAAATTTGGAAAATTCAAAATAATTAAACTCCAATTTCCTAAATTTTTAAAACTAAAAACTTTAAAAATTTACAAAAATTTTGATTCTTTAAAATCTTTAAAATTAAAAATTTGCTAAATTTTTAAAATTTACAAAGTTTACAAAAATTTTAAAAGTTATAAAATTTTCATAATAGGTTATTTACAATAATTTTATAATTATAAAAATTATTATTTAAAGTAAAAACAGCACTTATAGCGTGATAAGGTTATGTCGAAAGTTATAAAAGAATATCCATCCCTTCTAGGTGATTATTTAATCGAATTATATACAAAACCCTCTAAAAAACACCGTGATTCCAACCTTAACTTTAACAAACTAAAGACCAGAAACTCCAAAATATGCTTATTCCTTGGTTTCGACTCCAGCGCAATGTTAACGAAATTCTTCGTCGCGTCAAAACGATTGCTAACTTCGAAGAAAGAGTTTCCCATCGTGGACGACGAAACGGGCGAAACAGTAGTGACGATAAAAATGAACGATCCCAACCAGCACCTAATCTTGCACGTGCTGTATTTCGCAATGAACGGCACCGATGCCAGCGCCTTGAAGCGCATGGACGAACAGTGGAAACTTCCGCTAAAGCAAGTTTTCGAGCACTACGGCACCATAAAGTCCAAAAATCGTCTGGCAAGGGACGACATAACGATAGGAAGGATAGCGAATTGCTTTCCTTTCGCGGTGATGTGGTTTTTGAGTAAGGGCGTTTCGAAGTCCGATGCGGACTTGACGTTGTTGGAAAGAGTGTCGGGAGTCGAAGTCCCGAATTGCTTGAAGACGATTGTATTTTCGAGCATAATTCCTTCAAAAGACTGCTACACTCCGTTGATTTACTACGCGTACTTTTTTATTTACTCGCACGACACGCTTAAGAATCCTAGAAAGCCTTTGCAGAAAGTTTTCTACGACACTGAGTCCTATGTGAACATGTCGAGGAACTCAAATTTCATCGACAATGATAGTAAAGTGCACTACTTGAAAAAACTGGAAATACTTGATTTAAAAAGCGGCGAGCTAACGGAAAACATGAGGAAGATTTGCTTTACCGCACAGCAGTTGTGGGTTAGTTTTAGGTAGAGATGCGACTTGAAAAAAAACGGTCCGTTTTTTTGTTTTTTTTTCAGGTTTTTTTCATTGTTTTTTTTCAAATGTTTTTTTTTTCTTCATATTTTAGGTTTTTTTCAAGATTAGTCCCATTTGCCTAATTTTTTATTAAATTTATTGTTGTTAAAAATTATGGAAATTTACAAGTAAAAATTTAAAAAGAAAAACAATCTTTATATAATAGAAAATGCTGTTAGCAGACACCATTTTTGATAAAGTTTGACAGAATGTTATTCCAAAAAACAAGCACGTTTTACTAAAAACACTTCAAATCTAGCGATTTATATCGAATTTTGACCAAATTATCTAACGAAAAAAATGTATGGTAGTGGAAACACTGGTTTGGAATACATCTAAGATTAAATCAAACAGTTTGTAAAAAAAATTTAATCGCCTCAATTACGTAACAAGTTGTTTTATAACAAAATAACAAAAAAAAATAACAAACAAAATAAAATAAACAGACAACATAATCACAACAAAAATAAACTAGGTTTGAGTTAAAAAAATCATATTTTTTAAGTAAAAAAGAATAGAAATTTATACAAACCATAAAAAACACATAGGAAATAAAAAATAATTACAAAAAAATATGAAGCAAAAATTATTAAATTTATTGTTGTTAAAAATTATGGAAATTTACAAGTAAAAATTTAAAAAGAAAAACAATCTTTATATAATATAAAATGCTGTTAGCAGACACCATTTTTGATAAAGTTTGACAGAATGTTATTGCAAAAAACAAGCACGTTTTACTAAAAACACTTCAAATCTAGCGATTTATATCGAATTTTGACCAAATTATCTAACGAAAAAAATTTATGGTAGTGGAAACACTGGTTACAAGTCAACTCATTGTTCATTGGCTCCTACCTAATAACTTTTCCAACTTTTCATAGGGGGTGCCAAACTTTTCCAACTTTTCGACCGAACTTTTCCTTGTTTGCCACACTATGCACGCGCCACCACCACCGAATTGACCAATAGGGCCGCGCTTGTTTTGATTTGGTCCTAAAAAAGTAACTACCTATAATATTTTTGATTCAACGCTTGATTTTTCAAAAAGCTACCAAAAGCACTTTTTCATGATTTTTCAAATTCATGTAGAGTATGGAATTTTTTTTTTCAAAAAAACAATAGCAAATTCTTGTAGAACATTTATTCATTGGTGGTTAAGTCAGAACATTTCGTGGACCAAAAAAGAAAGCCAAAAAAATTTCGAATTTTTTATTACGGCATTCGTTAGGATTGAGCGTTGCACGTTTTTCATTTAAAAATCTCAAAACTAGAAACTTTAAGCTTCAAATTGCTTTTTTACGGCTCCAATGCGACCATTTTTAACGAATATACAGCAATCCGAAAAATCGCAAAAAATTTGGAATTTTTTATCCTTTAATTTTTTCTATTAGTTTAGAAGATTTACATTGCTATTGGTTTCTTATGTGGAAACTACCAAATAATAAGAAATTTTAGTCTCGGTCAAAATTTTCAATAATGAAAAATGTAATATATTCTACATTTCACTTTATTATTAATATACATTTTACTCAAAATTTCATTTTGAAAAACTACTCCATTTTTTAAGATTGATGTTATTTATTGACAGAATATGCTTTATTGTAGCGGATTTGAAAAAAAACAAAAAAACCCGTTTTTTTCACATCTGAAAAAAAACGGTTTTTTTACATCTCTAGTTTTAGGTATGTCGAAAGTAAGAATGAATTAAAAAAAATGCTTGACACCTATTTATGTTTTAACGCTGATAAGCCCATTGAAAAGTTCTATAAGGTTGATGTTAATAGTTACAGAAATTTGATCAAGAATCACCCGCAGGTTGACTCTCTTATGAGAGAACTTTTGTTGGGTAACAATAAAATTATTGGAGAGATTTTAAATGATCTACCGAACGCCAAGTTTGTTTATGATCCCATAATTTGTGCTCAGATTAATGATAAAAAGAATATTTCTGCTGTTGAGTTGCTAACCAAAGCGGAAACTATTGATCAAGTTGTTACCATACTTGTAGCACTTTTGAGTTTGAATAACAAATATGAATTTATGGCGACTCTGTTAAAACTGTTCAAGATAAATCGTATGGATTTGGTGAAACTACTGGGCAGTTTTAACATTGAAGACTTAAATATAAATGATAAGTTCGGTAATGTTGATAAAGTTACTGAAGATTACATGTGTATTTTGGAAAAACTTGTAAAAGATGGAGATTTTGTTTATGCTCCTATTGCAAACAAATTTACGTCGACATGAATTCTATTGTATTGTAGTCATTTAAGTAATAAAATGTTTTACGTTTGGGAACCAATTCGTTTCGTTTTCTTTTCAGATTGAGCTACCACCAACCAAATAAGCAGCAGGTGCTTGGAAAGTATAATAAGCAAACAATCATAATACCAAAAATGTTGCTGATTATCATATTTATCAACTGAAAGCAAGCACACCCTGTAGAACAACACCAAAACTTATTCTACCAGGTGGCGCTTGCCTAAAATTTAATGTGCTTACAAGCTTAGTTATTTATAGATTTAAGGTGCACTTAAAAATGAAATAAACAAATCAGAGCAAATTGTTTCTTGATCTTAAGGATTTTGTTTACCGGGTTTTGCAGTAAGCATTCAATAAAAAATACATGATTTTCATCGTTCGTTTTTGTATTGCTTGCTTGCGGCATTTTTTTCTTCATATTGTAGGGCATTGCAAGGAATAATTTGTTAGTCTTTACATGCTGTAATTATTGTTATTCCCGTATAATTTAAATCGAATTGCCTTAAAATGCATTACACTTTAACAAGTTGATATCATTGTAAAGTAATTGGTGAAATAATTGTGTTAATAATTTATTTTATTTTAAATAAATCTTGGGATTTACAACGTGTAATTCTTATTCAATAAATGGTACTAATAAAAGATTTCAAGTTGACCTATAGAAATAAGTAGCATGTTTCTATTTTTTTTATTATTTAATTGATTTACAATTCCTGGCCAATTTGTTGGGAATTTGTAAAATGGTCAATATCTTCTCACAAAAATGCATTTTTGAACTATAAAACTGATTGTATAAAACGCTTTTATGGACATTTAATTGATATTTAAAAAACTACATTTTTTGCCCTAAAACTCATTTTTGCAGAAAAACTATTACAACAAGGTTATATATCTAAATATGTTGTAATCAGAGTTTTATTGCAAAAATCCCAAAAAGTAATTTTTCTTGAAAACGCTATTAACGCAATTCTACCCAGTTGTGATTAAAAACGCACTTTTGTGAGAAGATATCGATCTGTGAGCAAGTCTTATAAATTGACCAGGGCCTGTAGTTAAATTGTAGTTATTTTTTAATATATCTGAGATATTTGTACAGCAAGATCATATTTTTTAAATTATTCTTTTAACTTATATATTAAGTGATTTTGTATAAAAACATTGTTTTGAGTTTGATTGCTTTATTAAATACTTATTTTTTTTATCCAATTGTATTTCCTTTAGTTTGGTTCGGAACACTGGCTTGACTGGGGCAAGCTTAAGTCTGTCTGAACTTTTTGGAGCCTAGATTAAAAATCCCTAAAAATTGGCATTAAGCAATGTAGTTCAATTTACCTAAATAAATAATAATTTAAACATATTATATATAATGTGTTTGCTTTACTAGCAAGGATGGATGTTATCTTTTTTAGTGTTTTTTAATCGATTACTATTTGCACAACCATACAACTGTGCAATACACTGTTTAAAATTTGTTGTGATACAAAGTGTGGTTTCCTATTATTTTTTATACTTTTGATTAGAATTATCTTCCATTCTAATTCAGTTGGCTGTTTTTAAAGAAAAATGTTCAATTAAAAAGTTTGGCTGCAACTTACATTTACTTTTCTATTGATTAAAATAAAACTACAAATAGGAAATGTGTTTGTAGGATTATTAAATAGCTGGTAAATAACCCAATAAAAAGTATGTGTTAGTTTTATTATGGAATATTTTCGGTGGTGCACAAATTTTATACTTATTGCATTTCATGTTATTGATTTTTACAATTTTTAACGAAAACAATTATTTAGATACCTTTGTTTCAAAGAAAGCGCTATTCTGTGTAGTGGTAACAAATATTTGATAGTGGATGCTTGAGTCAATGATGCAATTTATTTATTTAACGATGAAATTATATTCTAATAAACTAATACAAATTCTACAATGTTGTTTTTATTAACCATTCCGAAGCTTGTGGTAAGTGACAAATGTCAAAACATCGGACCTAGTTCTGCAGAAAGCGACCAACCTAGAATAAATCTCTTAACCCTATTTTAAGTTGGAAAAGAATTTCTAACTCATGGTCCTAAAAATCACAAAAGTAAGTTTTTAGCTTGCTTTTTTGGATTCAAAGCAATCTCAGCCACCCTCAACTGATCATTTAGTTTCACTTAGGTTAGGAATAAATAATACACCGTTGATCTTAAATCACTGTATTAACCAACTTAAAAACTTACAATTCCATAATGTATACAATCAAAGACAAAAACAAAGTTACAGCTTAATTAACAGTGATCAATATTAATTAATTGTTTCTAAAACCGAGAGCCTGTTCGAGTTCAGCGCGTTTTTGCTGCACCTTGGTGTAGAAGTAACGACAAACTGCTTCTTGGGCCCAAGGTTGATAGAAGAAGTCTGCTCTGCGCTCCTCTTCAGGGTTACCAACAACGTCTGTCATGGTCTAAAATAAAAACCAATCAGCGGGTTTTTATTAACCTCGAAAAACCCGTCTATACATGTTTTCAGGGCTCCCACGGCTAAATTACAAATTTTATTTAGGAATTTAGGTTTTTTGGAGAATGTTAGGAGAGATAAAGTGTTCAAATAAATTTATGTAATTAAATAAAAACAGTGTACGCTGTTCTTAAAAAATAATAATTTAGGGTTTTAAAATTTCCGAAAAAAAGAACGTTTTGTCGGTAAAAAAAATAAAAAAAATGAGTAATTTTCAAAGAATAATTAATACCAAAAATTGAAGTCAAATTTTCTAAAAATCATAATATTATGATACCACCGGGTCGCAAAAAACTTTCGTTTTATTTGACACTTTGATTGATAAAATTATAATTTAAATTTATAAATTATTCATTATTTTGTAATTGGATATTTTCAATGGACTCCTTTTTGCAAAAAAGACCCAACCAACAGTATATTTAACGTTTACGTTTATTTTCTTGAATCAATTTAATTCAATTCAATATTTAGGGTTTGTTGTGTCTTTAGTTTTTTTAATTAAAATAATGTTAAGTTGTTGTTTGCCACTTTTTTTTAAATGTTTATAAAATCCCAAAAAAGACAATTTTTCCAAGGCCAGGGAAAAATGGAAAAAAACAGTTTTGTTCCCCAATTTTTCCGTTTTTTTACGATACTTTAAAACCCTAGTTACATTGACTAGTTTTTTAGCCGAATCGGTAAAATTACTACTTTTTATATATCTCGCGCGCCATGATGCCCTCGGCTTCGCCTCGGGCATCATGGCGCGCAGTGCAGGAATCCCTCACTTTCTGCCCTTGTAGTGTAATATACTATTTTACACAATTTTTCCGGTTTTTATCCAATACTTTTAAACCCTAGTGCGAATTAATGTGAACACAAATAGATTTACCTTAAATATTATTTATTGAAATAAAAAATACAAACATTACTAGTTTATAAATATTTATTAGGAAATATGTCCCCCTTTTAACCTTTATTAAAGCTTTAACTCGTTTTGGCATAGAATTAATTAATATTTTGTCATTTCGAAACCATACCTGAATGACAGTCAAAATCATCTTAGTTTTTGTTGTAGAATTCATTTTTAGCAACCTGTCCTTGCATATAGCCCACAAATTCTCAATATGATTAATGTCCGGTGAGTTTACAGGCCAGTCTAGAAGGGTTACCTTTTTGTCCCAGTGTAAATTAGTCGCAATAAACGGCAAAATGACTGACATTAGCAATTACTTAATGCAGAATGATAGGTTATGGGATATGTAAAGAAAAACCTGTCAAAATTGTCACAGCAGTGTTTATAGTTAAAATAATTTAGAAATTCCTAATGTTCACATTATTCGTTTTTAGGTATATTTTGTTGTTTTTTAAGAAAAATTTAGGTTGTGATATATCATTTTAAAAAGATATTAATAACCTAGAACCTAAAAACATATATTTTTTAAATTACTTTTTAAAAAAGAAATTTATTTAAACGCAGTCAAGTTGGTCTACTTATATTTAATTTTTAGTAGTTTTAGGAGATTGATGGCAATTTTAGGAGATTTCAAGATTTAAGCCAAACTTTAGGAGTTTTATGAGTTTTAGGAGGTGTGGGAGCCCAGTGTTTTATACTATACTATACTTTATGTAGATAACGGTAATACAAACATTATTTTAGCCGCTGTAAAGAATAATTGTGAAGCAGCAGTAATAACAAGTGCCTACCTTAAGATCCCTGGTCTGCGAGACGATCCACTTGTGTATGAACTGCTGAGGATCCTTGGCAAAACTAAGGAAGAACTCCCTGTTGGTTTTGAGCTGATTTATGGTGTCGACAGTCTCGTGAATCTTCGAATCCAACCCTTGAATCTCCTGCTGACTCGCGGTGCTCAGCAAGAAGTTGTTCATCTGCGTTTTGAGCGTGTCGTCGACCTCGACGTCGATGTCGTAGCAGGCGGTCTGCTTGCTCTCGGCGCCGCCTTCGACCGAAATCACGTGGTTGATGACGATCGGATCCGGCGGGTGCAGGAGCGGGTTCAAGCGCGACGGAATCTCGGCGAATTTCATGCGCGAGCAGTTGAAAATCTGCTCCAAGTACTTGTCGCACACGATGTACTCTCTTTCGTGCGCGTCCTGCAATCGGTGCGTCTTGATGTACTGCCACAAGGCGGAAATGATGACGGGTCTGGTTTGGGTGTGCACGCCCAGAAGCCGGGCCAATCTCGGGTCCAACTTGAACTGCAACGGCTGATAGTCGAGCAGCAAAAGAATGGTGCAACGCACGTTTTTGTCCCCGGGTCTTTTCACCTGGAAACCGTCGGTTTCCTGAGTGGTCAAAGTGCGGTGCCACTCGACCAAATGGTTGTCGGGGCCGTACAGCTCCTTGTCCAACTCTATGACGAGAGATTTAAAGAAGGACGAAAATTTGCGTTTCACTTTGTTCGGGTCGTTTTTATTGTCGTCTAATAGTCTGCCCTCAACTCTTAGCTCCCATGATGCAACAGATCTAAAGGAAATCAAAATAATAGTTCTTGGGATCTCTTAAATGGTGTCACGCCATCTGGTGGCGAATAATTTATTAGAATAAGACGTTTAAACAGTAGATCCCATTTGAAGTAAATTATTACAATATTAAAAACAATCTATGGAGTCTGCAACGTTTTCTCCGCATGTTTTTTAGGCCCCTCCCATCTGACAGATCCTAGTAAGGACTTGTATATAGGGTTGGGAAAATTTCACTTTTTGCTTGTACTTGAAATTTCACTTGAAATTTTCATGACATTTATGGAATTTATTAAAATTTCCTAAATTTCTGAAATTTCATGAAAATTATGAAATTAATTGAAACTTTCAATAAATTTCAATCACTTTAAGTGTAAATTAATATTGAAATAAGCCCACTCGGGGACCATGGCAAATTGCCTCTCTTACCTCCTACCCCTCTGTGGGCCCCTGCACCAATAATATAAATAGTAAATACCTATGTTTACCACAAATTTCTTGAGATTTCCTTTTAAAATATTTTTAAAATTACTAAAACTAAAAGAGATATAGCACTTTTTGGTAAGCTAATGAGATTGTGCCACTTTCATTGTTTTATATTTATATATGGGGCGATCCACGCCAAATCGGCCAAGATTCACACTTCATGTTTCCGATTTACTTCAAATTTTCAGGGCCGACAGAGGAACATAAATAAAGGAGAAATCCAAAATTTTAATTTTTTTTATGCATTTTTGTGGATTTTATATAATAAATAAAAAAAAATGTCACGTTTCTTATTTTTCGAAAATTAAAAAACTGAAACGACTGAAAATTTCGAGATAAATTTAGATGTACATATTTTTGGGCGCTCTTTAAAAAAAAAAATTTTTTCAAAAATTTTAACCTAAAAATTCATTAAAAAAATCATTTTTTTTAAACAAATTCAATTATCCAAAAAATGCCATCTCAAAAATTTTTCAAAAAATTTATGGTGATAGCCCTGAATCTTGCGCAAATTTTGACTAGTTACTTTTTGGGGGGACTCAAAAATTGTAGAAGTTATGAATTTTTTTATGAAGCGATGCGTTTGAAATCGTTACTCCCAATGCAATGGCTCCGCGCGACTTTTAAGCGCGCTTAGTCAAACGGGGGATGGAATGGTTTCAGACCAAACAAACAAGTAATTTTATGTATTTTATCAAAAACCAAAATTCATTTATTTCATTCTTAATTAATTGCAAAAAATGCGATGTAATCTCCTGATTTAATATTATAACTGTTGAATTTGTAAAAAAATAACTTTTTCTATCTTTTATGGTAAAAATTTTATTAGGCAAATTCTGTGTTATATAATTAATTTACAAATACTAAAAAAGTCTTTGACAAATACTGTCCTAGTATCCATGACAACCTAAAATGTTGATTTTAATTTGTTATTAGATTGCCATGCATTTCTGACGTTAGTCTAAAAGTAAACCATAACATTATTTAAGGCGTTAAATTTGAAACACCCTGTTTGTTGTTAGTAGTTATTATTAGTTATTATTATTGTTATTATTGTTAGTTATTATTAGTTATTATTGTTATATTAGTTATTATAGTTATTATTAATTATTATTGTTAGTAGTTATTATTAGTTATAATTACTAATTAGTATAATAGTTTTGGCGCATTAACCCGAAGTTTATAATAATTATAGAATTGTTGAGTTTAGTAATTTCTTGAGTGAGTTTATTAAGGAAAGCTATCAACATGAGTCCATCACACAAAAAGCGTTGCTGTAATCCATTTAAGTATCCCAACCGTAAGTGATTATTAATTAATTTTATACTTTATTATTCAAATTATTGTAAATTAAGTAAAATTAACTTAAGTTTTCATAGAGTTTTTAAATAAATGTTTTTTGCAGATCCTAATTCAACTCAACTCAGAAAGTTTTTACGTTTTCATAGGCATAAGTTTGAAAATATTCCCAAAGATGCTTTGATCTGTAATTCATGTCGAGTAAAATTAACAATCCAAGAAACTCCTGAAAATGAAGATTTAGGTTCAGATTCAACTGATTCAAATGCGGAAGAATTTATTTCATCAAAATTAACAAAATTAAATTTAAACATCGCCTTAAATGCTTTAGGTGAAAAAGAAATTGATGATAAAAAGTATGTTAAACATTTTTGTTTTGTAAAAAAAAAATGATAATATGCGCTCGATATTCATGAAAGTGATGCATCACTTTCATGTATATAATATAATATAATCAAAGACAAAATTATATTTTTCATTATCATAACTGAATGTTTTACAGACTTAGATATAAAAATTATATTGTTGGTAAAGTTGAAGCAGCACAAGAAAGTATTAAAAAAAAATTTGAAGAAATAACATGTTTAAATATTGTTACTTCAGATGATGCTAAAACTGTGGCTCATAATAACATTATGTCTATGTTTATGGAGAAATTCAATGCTGAAGACACATCGAGGTTAAATATTATTTTCTCAATCAATTTAATTAAAAATTATTACAAAGAAAAATTTAAGTTCAATTTAAAATCGCATTGTTATTATCAATATTTATAATTAATTTTTATTTCAGAGATAATAAATATCGTATTTTAACTTCACTACCATCAACTTTAAGCACATGCAATATAACACGAACATTCAATTGCTCTAAGCATATGGTAAATGTTGCCAAAAAATTGCAAAAAGAAAAAGGCATTCTATCAGTACCCGGCGTCAAAAACGGACGAAATCTTTCGAGTGATAACATAGATTTAATAACCCAATATTACCGAAACGACGAAAATTCAAGGCAATTGCCTGGGATGAAGGATTACGTGACTATCAAAAAAGATGATGGAGCGAAAGAGAAAGTTCAAAAGAGACTTGTTTATTGTAATTTAAAAGAACTTTACCAATCTTTTAAATTAGAATTCCCGAATTGCCAAGTAGGTTTCTCTAAATTTGCCGAACTTCGTCCCAACGAATGTGTTCTGGCAGGAGCTAGCGGAACACATACAGTTTGTGTGTGTATCTTTCATCAAAATGTTAAACTTATGATCGAAGGTCAGAAAATAGAATTTGATTTCAGAAACCTTAATTAGTTTGATTTACACTTCTTAAGAATAAAAATTATCGTAATAATTATAATTATTCTAATATTTCTAATTATTATAATAATAATATATTATTATTATTATTATATTAATTAGAATTAATAAAATAAATATAATTATTAATAATAATTATAATCAATTATCTGTTTATAGGCTCGGATTTACAAAATTTAACCAAAACTTGGGAAATTCCAATAAAAGGAAAAAGTTCGTACAAGGAGCTCTTTAAATATCTGCTATGTCTAAATCCGATTATCAAATGTTACGAAGGTCAGTGTGCTTTATGTCCCAGCAATGATATTCTAAAAGAAAAACTAATCGACGCATTTAATAATGACTTAGTCGAGGAAGTGAATTACAAACAATGGATATCAACAGATAGGTAAATATTAAGTTATAGTGTAAATTTATGTTGGTTTTGATTTATTACTGTTTTTGAATTAGGTGCTCTCTGAAAACTTTGAACGAAACTATTGATGAATTTGTTCCATCTTTAATAGAAAAATTGACCAAACTACTTTTTCACGATTTTATCGCCACTAAACAGTCTCTGCATTTTAAAAATGTAAAGAAGAATTTAGAAGTTGGCGATTTCGTGGTAACTCTCGATTTTTCAGAAAATTTTGCATTTGTTGTTCAGGAAGCAGTCCAAGGATTTCACTGGAACAACAATCAGGCAACGGTTCATCCGATTGTCATATATTACAAAAATCGTGAAACAAATGAAATTGAACATGTTTCTTATGTTGGCATATCGGATTGCCTTAACCACGACACTATTGCGGTATATACGTCTCAGAAAAAATTAATCGATTTTCTGAAAAGAAATTTTTTAATCGTCAACAGAATTATATATTTTTCGGATGGAGCACCTCAACAATATAAAAATAAAAAGAATTTTGTTAATTTAACCCATCACTTGACAGATTTTGGAGTTGAAGCTGAATGGAATTTTTTCGCAACAGCTCATGGAAAAGGAGCCTGCGATGGCGTTGGAGGCACATTAAAACGAATAGCTCGAAGATACTGTTTACAAAGTGGAACCAGAAATGAAATTTTGACCGCGCAAAAACTTTATGAATGGGCAAAAGAAAATTTTAAAAATATAAACGTTTTTTTTTATTCAACGGCCGATTATGAACTTGCAGCTGAGTTTCTCACGTTAAGGCATAAAAAGTGCAAGACGATCAAAGGAACTCAGTCCATTCACTTTGCATCGCCAATTAATAAGAACACCCTTAAAATTAAATTGTTTTCGGAAAGTTTAACTTCTGATATTGTTTACACAGAGTAAAAAAATATTTGCTAATTTTAACCAAATATTAATAAGATTTTTTGTTAATCTAGATCTACATAACTTTTGTTACGTTTACAACAAACTATAATCTGTTAACTAAGTACACAGTTTTAAAAGTCATATTTATTGATATCAGTTTTTAGTTTTTTAATTTTATATTGTAAAAAGTTTAACATAATTCTTTGTAAACGTAACATAATTCTTGGTAAATGTAACATCACTCCAAAAGTTATTTGGACCTAGATTAATAAAAAAATATGTTATTAATTGGTTAAAATTAACAAATATTTTTACTGTGTAAATAAGTAGTTTATTAGCTATTTATGTATCAAGGGCATTACGTAGGCTTTAATGCCCAAAGGCGAAACTAGCCCGAGGGCCTTTGGCCCGAGGGATAGGATTTCGCGTGATGGGCATACAATGCTTTATTTTCTACTTAAAGATTTATGTTTTTATCAAAAATTTAAATAATAAATAAACTTGTCAAATTTCCTACTGTCACTGTACCAAATGTTGACTTATGTCAAACAAAAATTAATCAAAATTTTATTTAAGAAATTCCGCAAAATATTTTACAAAATGCAGCCAAGGCTACACAAAAGTTATTATTTATTATAGTCAGTGATTGAAAACAACAAATTTTCTGCAGCTTTGGCTGCATATTGTATGATGTTTTGTAGATTTAAATTTGCGGGCATTATGATAACGCCCGGCTATAACGCCCTGTGGTTGTTATAGATACGTTTACTTATTTGATTTGCAAGGTGTTATGGATCAATAATAGATAAGTAGAAAATAAAATAATTACATACATTACATATTCGGTAAAATGTTTTTCTTGTTAAAATTTTCACAAATCTGGACTGATATTAACAAATATTATTTATCTTACAGTGCACTGCTTGGCTTATCGCTTGTAAAATATTTTGTATTTTTTTAATAATAAAATAAATGTAATGCAATGAATTTAGTCTTTTAATAAAATATAATTAAAATAAATACTACATTTAACTCAATGAAACAATCTCTTTCTCCGTTTGGCGAAGCGAAGTCGCTCGGAGCCATTGATCGCGGGAGTAACGATTTCACGCATCGCATCACAAAAAAATTCATAACTTCTACAATTTTTGAGTCCCCCCAAAAAGTAACTAGTCAAAATTTGCGCAAGATTCAGGGCTATCACCATAAATTTTTTGAAAAATTTTTGAGATGGCATTTTTTGGATAATTGAATTTGTTTAAAAAAAAATGATTTTTTTAATGAATTTTTAGGTTAAAATTTTTGAAAATTTTTTTTTCTTAAAGAGCGCCCAAAAATATGTACATCTAAATTTATCTCGAAATTTTCAGTCGTTTCAGTTTTTTAATATTCGAAAAATAAGAAACGTGACATTTTTTTTTATTTATTATATAAAATCCACAAAAATGCATAAAAAAAATTAAAATTTTGGATTTCTCCTTTATTTATGTTCCTCTGTCGGCCCTGAAAATTTAAAGTAAATCGGAAACATGAAGTGTGAATCTTGGCCGATTTGGCGTGGATCGCCCCATATATTTATTATTTTTATATATTTTACTGAAATTTTACGAAAATTTAAGAAACTTCATCAAAATGTTATGAGCCAAAGGCATTTTTTATCCGTTTTCCGATGCAAATATAGCAAAAGTAAAAGTTTAAATTAATCATGACTTTTAAAAAAAATTTAAAGTCTGATTTAATTTACAAATTAAATTGGTAACTGAATTAAATTATTTTAATTAATTTATGCATATAAGTAACAATAATTACTTATAGTGTATTCAAATCCAAGCCGAACTAAACAAAAACGCCCAGACGCTTGATAACTCGTTCTTATTGGTCGATTCGGAATCTGTTGTAAATTATTATTAAAGGTCCCAGGGGAGGCCGCATGTGAAATTTATGCGAAATTTTCAGTAAATTGCGAAACTTTCAATGAAATTTCTGAAACTTTCACAGGCAATGTTGAAATTTTCGGATTGAAAATTTCATTTGAAATTTTTAAAAATTTCACTTTTCCAACTAAATGAAATATTTCAAGTTTTAAACTTTCAAAGTTGAAATTTTTATTTGAAAATTTCAACTGTCCCAACCCTACTTGTATACAATATTTAGGATTTTCAGACATTTTAAAAGGAAATCACAAACAAGTCAATAATAGGTCTCTAATGAACTTTTAAAAAGGACAACAATAAAATTACTACATTATAGACCAGCTCATAATGTATCAGAGGGGCTAGCCAAGGCAGTAGATTGTGTGCAAGGAAATGAATAAGCTTTCGCCGCCGGGTTTTAAATACTATTTTTTTTCAAGCATTTAATTTTAATATTTACAAAATTCTGTCATTTTTAGGTAAGTATCAACTGACATGATAACATTTTAGCTGTATTTTAAACTGGAGTTAATAATAATTTGACATTTGATCTAGTATACAGGGTGTCCCAGAACACGCGCCAGAGAAAACATTAAAATTAAGCGAGATAAGAATAAAAAACGATATTCGAAGTTCTTCTGCGTTGTAACGAAATTGAAGGTGCTTCTTAACGCATTAGAACAGCGGAAAATAAAAAAGATATTTTCAATATCTTTGATGCAAATAGTAGGAAGAGCATAAGGAAAGTTGCACGCGAATTTACCGTTTACAGTTCAGCGGGTTATAAAGGACGTTCATTTTACGCGAGTGGAATTTTGTAGTGGTTGGCAACCACTGGTTGCTAGAGATTTTAAAACATTGGCGTCCTGAAGTATGACATTTATTTTTGAAAGGTTAGTAAACAGTCGGACAAAAGACAATGTTCTATCGTTTCCCAGCAATTTTTAAAGCTCCTACGTTTAACCCAGTGTAGTCGAACCTACCGAAATTTCGGTATTTCTATGAATTTTTGGCAATAATTTGTTTCTACCGATTTTTGGCAATAATATCACATTTGATACTGGGAACTATGGTCAAAAAATTAAATATTTAATGGAATATTTTTTTAAAACTATCAAACAATTTCTGAATTTATTAAGTCTGTCACTCCTATTATGATTACAACAATGAAGGTTTTGGGTGGAATTGCAACCAGCATAATCAACTCTTTAACACTTATGTACTTAAATTGATTCAGGGTTATTTCTTATAAGACAGTAGCAATAAAGCGATATTTCAAACCATATAAATATATTATCAAACAAAGAATTTTCAATAAAAATGAAAAGAAAAAACAAGGAAAATTAAAAATAGGTAATTAAACTTAATCCAGAGATTTAATTAAAGAGGACTAGTTTACAAAACAGACTAGAACTCTAGATTACAATATTTTACTAAAAGTAAACTTAGAGAAAGTGAAAAATAATTAAACTAATAAAATTAATGAAATGAACTATCAGAGTTAATCTAATCTGAACAAATTGGTTTGAAATACAATAATTACTATAGGTACCTTACACTCAATATTTAGCCTTTTTTATTATTGTTTGTATTTCCTTTTAAATAAAATGTTTATTTACCGATTCATAATTTATTTGTTTCTACCGATTTTAAACGATACTTTCTCCCGATTTAGCATTTTGACCTAGGCGAGAGCTCTCAGTATTGGCTGCCGCTTTTTGGCTCTTATTTTATTACACCATTAGCTAGAAATTTTTAATTTTTTAATTTGGCGTCTCCTTTCCTATCAAGGGGGCTTTGGCTCTGGGACACCCTGTATACAAAGTCTTTCTCTAGGCACTATATAATATGAAATTTATATAACTGATTTAAACCCAAAAAAAAAGATGGAAAAAGAAACCATAGAAAAATTTAACAAAATAGACCAAAAAAGTAGACATAAAACAGAAATATAAACCATAGACATAAAAAACATAGAAAATGAAACCATAGAAAAATCAAACAAAAAAAAAATCTTAAACAAAATAAACCAAAAAGTCTTAGTTCTTACCCTTCTTGGCCTGGTCCTTCAGGACCATCAGCGCATGCTTCTTTAGCTGGATAAAAAGTGTTCGAAATAAAAATTCTTAATTTCCTTTTTTGCTTCATTGGACGTTTTAAGGCTTCCTGTATGTCCAATCTTTTCCTCATGATTGTAGCATCCAATTTTCTCTCAAAAGCCAACAAATCCATGTAAGCTTGGCTTTCAGGCACCAAATCCCTGACTTTCTGGGGTAAAATCTTGTCAGCCAGCTTCTTCTTTTTTTTACTGGTATGGCCGTATTCACTAAAAATAATTAAAAAATATGCATTCTTGTTTTGGATTAGTCCCATATAAATTCAGGCAGCAATATCAGATCTATTAAAGATTTAAATTTTTTAATTAATTTTGTGTACCACAGGTCCAATAAAAAAAAATTGAGAATGTTATAATGTTGACTTTGCTGCCTGAATTAAAATGGCACCTATCATAAATAATTACGCTTTTGGTCCCTGCATTGGCCCTCTGTTATCAGCAGGCCTTTTTACACCAGGTTGTGGTGGCATAGGTCCTGCCCTCATTGGAGAGTAAGGAGCTTGAGGAGGTCTTTGGATCATTGTTCCTCCACTAGATTGCATATTTGGGGGTGGTGCATTATACTGAGGTCTAGGCTACAAAGTAAAACATAAGGTTTTACTTTATTTACCTAATACTTTTTCATATTAAAATTATAAGGTTGCATAGTTTTTAATTAATTCAAATTAGAGCCTATAATAGGCTCTAATTTGAATTAATTAAAAACTATGCAACCTTAAAATTTAACAGTATTAACAACAATAATTGTTGTTGATACTGTTAAATGTCACTTTTGCACTTTTTAGGACAAAAAGAAAGTTACTTTTTTAAACACCTAGAAGTATGAAGAAATAAATATGGTAAAAAATTGTTTCTGCTTCTAGATTTTTAGAAAAGTACACAGTATTACAATATGATAAAGATCAATTTTACTGTCTCCATAAGGAAGAGAAAGAAGGTGTTTCTACAACTATAGTCTTTTGTCAGACATTTTCAGACAATTTTTGTTCATTTTAGACAGTTCTGATACAGTTAGGGCTGCCAGACCTCCCGATTTGGGCGGGAGTCTCCCGATTTTACAGCAAGCCTCCCGATTTTTAAAAGACGTCTTAAAGCTCCCGACTTCCTTGAAAACCTCCCTTAACTCCCGTTTTTTGGCAAGCTTCATCAAGTTCCGAGTCAAGTTCCTTTAATCCACCTTATTTTATTCAATTTTTTTTTATAAAGTTGTTAATAGTGTGCTAGCATAGGTATTCAAATATATTTGTATTACAAATACCACAATGTGACAAATACCTATGCCAGAGCACTCTATTGAAAAATTTGTAACTTCGTACTGTAGAAAACATTTTTACGTTTACCTTATTTCCGCCAGGGTGCGGTACTAGAAAAAGAATATGGTGTGTGTGATTCATATATAAACTTTTTAATTTACGAAAAACTTGTTTTTTCGTTTTACGGTAGTTATTTTTTTTTTAATGGTAATTGCATGGAGAAAAGAAAGAAATTCACTTTCCCTGGAAACTCTGGAATCGGAACTAATGGTTAAACATAACTTTACGGAATCTTGTCAGGAATTTGCCAAATTTTTGGCTAATAATGGAAACGAAATAATTAAAAGTGTGGGAACAAGCCTTAAATACTCATAAAGATATGTATAACTATTAGTTTCGATTAAAAGTTGAAATCTCCTGTTTGAGTCAACAAACAGTTTGACCAATATATGATTTTGTCTTATGTTCTGTGATTTTGTCTGAATAAAATTTAATTTTTTTAACCTCCCGCATTTTAATTTTGAAAATCTGGCAGCCCTAGATACAGTTTGGGTCATTTTAAATAGCTTTAAGGACATTTTAAGACAATTTTGGTCATGTTGGACATTGCATTACTGTTTTCCCTGACTTTACGGTAGTCAGAGAAAACAGTCTGTACCAATACCTATGGTTGTATAGTGAGGCTGCCTCTGTGCACCACTTACCAGTGGTGTAGTTGTAGGTAGTAAGGTATACTTTTTAAAGCAGCACTTTGAAATCTATAATATTTTTTTTACAACTATTTCCTTTAATCCACCCAAATAATACAAAAGCTTATGAATTGAGCTAAATGCGAAAATCAATGTTTAAACAATACCATTATTATGAAAATACAGGCAAAAATAGACAAATAGCAATACAATGCACAAAAACAGGTCTTCAAACTTACCGGGAAATTTTGCGGAGCATAGGGCCTCATAGCGGGGTTCTGGGGCTGCGGGTACCTTTGAGGGGGAGGCCCCCCAGGTCCCGGTGGCGGCCCTGCGCCCGGAAAACGTTGGGCCATAGTATTTTCTCAGTTGGAAGGCGAAGTTTTTATTTTTTATTGGAATTCCGTAAACAACGCACCCAAACAACTTCACAATGCAGTGCTACCAACACAGATCATAAATGTTACCAACCAAACGTCATATGACGGATGTTTGCTGTGTTGCCGGATTCATCTTTGTTACTATACGAGGGTTGTTCACTTATAAATTATTTCTTTTTAAATTTTCTAACAAAATACATTTTTAAACAATTAAAATCAAAGGCATGTACCTTCCTAAAATATGGTTTATTAAAAATTAAATACATATATAATTACATTTGTCTATTTTTTCTGCCGTAAATTTGTATAACATGCTAAAATAATGTTGTTTTTAAATATATTTCTTTAAAAATTTATAACTTTAATGACAAATCTTTGGCATGCACAGGTTTACTTATTATTTAATTTCGTTCGTTTTAGGTTTTAAACATGTTTTACAGGTTTTTTACCCAAGAAGATGACAAAAAGTCATACCTACACATAAATATTCCTAAATTACAGTCATCGTTCAAGTATTACGTAACGCACTTTTTCAGAATTTTGAATGAGCAACATTTTTTTAATAATTACTTTACAGAACAAAAAAAATAGTTTTTAACATTTGCTTGTAAAAAGTAAGAAAAAATCCTTGACATCTCCCCCTAGCGCCGTTACGGAATACTAAAACACAACGCGATACGAAAAACGTAAATTTCTTTAGTTGCCTAATAAAAACATTGCACTGGGGTTTTCTATGTGGAAAATAACACATCACGATAAATCAATATTACCTATAAATTATTAATAGGCAAATGAATAAGTATTACAATGTGATGCCTTACAAAATTTGATTAACAAAAATTGATTCATTTGCCTATTGTGCTACACACCTCTAAATTGTTTAGCTAAACTATTTTTAACTTTTTAACAATATAATCAGTCTTAAAAATAATTTTAACAAAAATCACAAAAACAAATTTCGTATTTGTTAATAACAAATTGTTATTAATTGTAACGATTTTTAAAATTTATATAAAAGTAATTTACTTTGACCTTTTACTTATCATTTTATTATTCGACAAAAATATACACAGTATTGAATAGTATTTATTTAATAAATACTTTATAAAGATAAAAACATATTTTTGGTTTGTTATAAAAAAAACCTTTGTAAAGTGCATACATAGACTCATGCACTCTAAAAATATAGATAGTAAAACTGTTAATTAAAAAAATAAACTTTGGCTTTTATATGGTTAAAAGTAATTAACTTTTAATTAATGAATTGGCTGTCTTAATTAGCTTGACAAATAATTTGTTTATAAATTATTGTCAAAAATACAAAAAACTAACATGAGCAACATTACAACTGAGCATTTTTAGGCAATAATTATTTTTATGGAAGACAAATACTTAACAATAACTAAAATACATACTATTTAAAACTATAACAATTGTTGTGATGTATATGGGCAAGAAAAATATTTGGTCATTTGTTTGTAAAAAGAATTAGCAAGATATTTGGCATTAATGGTAATGGATTCGTTACTAAGTTCACAAATTACCTACAGTAGAACAGGTACAATCAACTACTTTGGCATACATACATTTTATGACTCATAATTTATGAGACCCAGAATGAAAAAAAACGATTTTGTCAATTACATACAATGACGTCACATGATAGTATGTAATCTGATTGTTCTGTCCATTAACAGTTTTAAAAGTATACAAATGGCTTCATGGCCTCCCCTGATATTCTGGGTAAAAATGTTTAGTTTTTTTCTAAGCACAACAGAATGGTGTCATCCTGATGGGTAATTTTTTACAGTTATCACAAAAATTATAAAAACTCGATGTGATTAATCACTAGCGATGAGCCAAACCGTGATGTTTGCCAACAGTTATCGCGATTTTTAAATAACGGCGATTTTTAAGCGCTAACGCGAAGTTTTTTTTTATTTGGTTATGTTGGTACTGTATGTCACCATACTTTGGTATTTTTAATATTTAAAATTGGTACTCCTGTCCAAGGCCTTAATTTAAATACTTTTACATTTAATTTTGAGAAATAATTCTCAATGCCACAGAGGAGGAAAAGATTAACCAGCTAAAAGATATTTTTGAAGTAATATAATTCATATTAACTTATCAAATGTTTTTTTAATTTTGTCATAAATTCCTGCATTCCTTTTTGAAAGGACAAGCCGAATATTATTATTTAAAAATACATGTATATTTACGCTGGAAATACGGTAAAGTCACTTATATTTTATCAAGGGTAAAGTTATTTCATTTTTAAATAACTCATATTTGACATTTTAAAATTTATAAACATATAAACATAATGTAGCAAATTATAATATTATGGTCCCTAGTATTTGCCAACTTAACCCCCAAATTTCTGACGTCAAATTTCGAATAAAAAAATAAACTAGTAAGATTTGTTACTATTAAAAGGTTAATTTAAATAATCTAATTAGATCACTGTTGTCAACTAATTGGGGATATTTCCCCAGTTCTAGGGATTTTTTGCGACTGTCAGGAATTTTTAAAAACAAATTAACCTTAAAATGCTTACAAGAATACTTGATTATTATATCATTTTGTTCGATTTGTTGGTGCTAGCCTAGCACTGCTAGGGTACGGACCGCTCAATGAAAAGTGAGAAATATAGGTGACTCTTCGACCTAGGAGGGACAAAATTGGATTCCCGGAATAGAAATATTCCTGTTTCGTTCCTCGAGGAATTTATATAAATTTATAAATTTTAAGGTACATAACCTATTTGTGTCCACGTGTTTGTTAGACAACCGTAACGGAGCGTTTATTCAAAAAGGGACATGTCCATTTTAGCGATTTGCAGAAACAAGTCAAAAATAACAGAATTCTTTTGCTTTTGACTTATTTCTGAAAATCGCTAAAATGGACATGTCCCTTTTTGAATAAACGCTCCTCCGTTGTCCAATGGTTTTTGGTTCTTCTGAAATCATTGGACGTTAAAACTAGTAGCTGGTTAATAAGGACTTATGTCCAGGACCATAAGGGCGGTGGTTATAAGCCATAAATCCGCCCTAGTTGAAAGAAGAAGAAGAAGAAGATTATTATATCAGTTTTGTCACAAAATTCTGTGGTTTTGTGTTGCTTGATGAAAGAGTATTGGAACATAAATTGCTTTCTTCCTTGATGGGACAACATAAAACTCCCAGCACAAAAATACGCTGGTCAGTACCATTTATACAAAATCTACAATAGATTAATTGATTCGCGAATGATTTCCACGATGAATATTAAATGAATTGAAAAAAATGAAAAAAGAAATTAGACATAAAATAATATTAAAATGAACTATGAACAATAATAATATAAAATTATTCAAGGGATTAGTTGTACTCACATTCTTTTAATTGACTTAATTTTCAAGAAACATAATGAGCTGGCTAAATAGCTTATAATTAAGCTGAAGGCCATTACCCCTGAACACAGTGCTTCTGTGTTCAGATTGAAGAAGAAGATTATTATATTATCCTTGATTTTATTTAGGGTTTTGTTCCTCAAGACGCACACATCGCTCTATGAGACAGTGTGAAATATAAGTGACCTTGTGACACAGGAAAAACAAAATTGGATTCCCAGCACCAAATCCACAATAAATACCAAAGATTACAAGGGGTGAATTTAACTTAGTTTCTCTTAATCTTGATCAGTTTAAAATTATTAAAGAAGAAAAAGAAAAACTTAAAAAAAACAGTAGAAAGATGGAATTGATAATTATTAAAATTATTTGGCTTGGATTCCCCAAAGAAAGCGAATATTTAGAGGTGATTTCGCTTATTCTTAAAAATCGCGGTTTCGCCAATCGCCGTTATTTGCAAAATTAGGCAACGTTGCTTGATTAACGGCAAATAAATCACTGTTAAATCACTATTAATCACTCACGGAATTGCTGTGTCTTGTTGTAATGTCACTGATTGTTGAGTTGTGTCTAGTTTTCCTGCTGCCTTCCTCAGTGTCTATACTGGGGTTGATGGATTGCGAGAGAGCGTTAGTTTTTTGAAAGTCGATCGTGGCGTAGCTCTTTTTTTGCTTCAAAGGGCTGCCGGGGGCCGATTCGGTGTTGCTCGGGTGTCTGCTGGACGAGGACAAATCCAGAGCAGCGTAATTTATGCTGGGTGCCGGTAGATCACAATCATCTGGGTTTATGTTGGCATAGTCTCGAGCCTGTTCGTTGGGCTTGTGATTTAAGGCTTCCACGTTCATGTAGGCGCGAGTTGGATCACTTTCCGCGTCGATAACCTCACTTAATGTGGCTGCAACCTCAATGTTTTGGTAATTTCTCATCTCGGCTCGAGCGGGGTTAACGTTCAAGTACGTCGGTTCTTGGTGTCTTTGGTTGTTGTTTCTCTCCCAAGGATCGGTTATCGGTGGGGGAGAGGGCGTTGCCAGCCCCACAATGGACCCAGGTCTGCTGTCGTGCCGATTCACATTTTGGGGCATGGCTATCGATTCTATTTGGGACGGAATCCTGAAAGGACACGCTTGGGGCACGCCGTTCGTCTCTGGCGAGTTGTAGCCGCCATTCTCTTCGGTGCTAGTGTTCCCGTTTATCTTTTGTTGCATTAGGTTGAAGAGTTGCTCGGCTTTGCGCGTTTTAAAGGCGTAAATGCCTTCTCCAGTGGCGCATCTTCTGCCACACTCGAAACTGAAGACGTCGGAGTCGAAGCCGTACTTTCGGAGCGATCTTAACGGCCACCTGGTTGGTGTTTTGTTTCTTTGGTATAAGACTAGTTCGGTGTCGGTGACTTGTAGTTTTCCTGGGCAGATAGAGACGCCGGAATCGTTCACATTGGCCACTTGGAATATGTTTGGGTGCGTGTCATTTATATCTTTGCTGCTGACACAGCCCATTTTCTTCTTTTTAAAAATTATTAGCTTATTTCAAACCTCATTATTTTATGTTTAATTGGATAAAGAAGTATCCATACCAGTGTTTTTGGTATTTGGCTCTAAAACAAAGAAAACAAAATAAAATCCTTCTATGTATACTCTTTAATAATGTGACAATTTCTTGCACAAAGTAAATAAACAAATATCAAGGTTAAACCATTGTACTCACAAAGAGTTAAACTGGATGTATACGGAACGATTCAATTAGACATCGTTTTGTTTCTTCTCTCTGGCTAAATATTACACTACAGCTGTTCATTACTTTGGTCTATTTGTCTTCTTTGTACATTTTATACTATTTTCTAATACCATTTGCTCACATAAATAACTAATCCGCAGTCATGTTCATTTGTACTGGATGTTGCCAAGTCTCACCACTACTTATCTGTCAAGCTTGACAGATAAAACGTAAATAGATTGTAATTTAGTATAGGCAAAATGTATTCAGTTTTTTATAATAAAGTGTTTAAAATGTAAACGATATTGATACGACTTGTTTCCTAATCGCGATAAAAGTATCTTTATTATGTGTCATCTGGGTTGCCTATAGGCAAGTATACTTAAAAGTACGAGGGTCGCAGGTTTATATAATATCTTTTGATACATAAATAAATAAATAAATAAGATTCTGTGAAATTTTTTCAAAAATCTGTTAGTTTTCGAGAAATTGCTATTTGAATTTGTAAATTAAATGAATAACAGAAAAATTGTAAATTATAGAATGTGAGTTTCATGAAACAAATGTGGATTAGTATCGTTCCAAATGTTATGAATCAGCTTTTAATTAATATTAATAAAAAGGTATCATTCACTAGTTGTATACCCGCGGCTTTGCTAGAGTGGATTTAAGAAAAAATAAAGGACAATGTTTTTTCGGCAACTGTTATTATGACCCTCGTCATTTTGACAGGACACTCAGGCAGCTTTCATTTTGAGAGCTGTCATTTTGGAACATTTTTTTGACAGATGTATTTCAGGCACTTGTCATTTTAACATATGTCATTAGGCACCTGTCATTTTGACAGCGAGGGGGTGCGGGTGGGGGCGTGAAGCGTACATTAAAATTCGTCTCCCTAGAAATAAAAATTGATGTGTCCAAGGAATTTTGTCCACATTCACCCGTTAAAACATTTAGGGGGGTACAAGTTTTCGTTGGAACACCCTGTATAGTATATTTTTTTAATGTTTAACACAAAAATTCTTGAAATTAAATTAAAAATTGCAAGAAACTTAATTCTTTTAAAATCCGGCCATAAATATTTATGGCCGTTATATAACGGAGTTAAAAAGGTTTATATAAAAACAAAAGAAGTTCGATAATTCAAAAACCAGCCTAAATAAAAATATTTATTTAAAAAAATGTTCTACAACGTTGTCAATTTGTTTATAACTTTTACTTCTATTATTTTTAAAATAATATCCATGGATGCATAACAAAAAACAATAGGTAATTATTTTATTTGCGCTGCATATACATATACTTAGTTTAAAAAAAAACATTGGCACAATGACTTAGAAACACTATCTCAAAACAATTTTCTCTCACAATCGGTTTTAATAATAATTATTAAAACGGATGACAATTATTGTCATAATCGTAAATTGTAAATTTAATAAAACGCGAACGCGCTCCCCAAAATTACATTTTTTTACATTGGACGTCATACGAAGCGAGAGAGAGACAGCGCTACCATGCGCGATGATAAAATTATATGCATAATATGCATTAAGTAGGTATAGGTACCTATGTAGGTATAGGTCATATTGTTTTTGAGTCAAACCAAGTGAAATACCTATATGTTTCATAATTATTTCATTCGATATATAAAATGTTTTGCAGGTAAAACAATTTTGCATTTACTACATACCCACATATATATTTCAAAATATAAGTTTTATATTAGTAGATACAATTGGAAAAAATATAAAATATATACAGCCCGTTCAGAGTAAAACCGAATATAGGGAAATGTATGGGGCGTGGCCTCGCCTCCCTCCAACGCGCGACACAGTAGCTAAGCAAATAGCCTACAATGCTAATGAGATTTTTGGCAATATTATCATTTAATTTTTAAGGTCGTCTTACCTGCTCGACCTTTCGTCATGTCGTTTATCACACAAGCTACTGTGACGCGCGTTGGAGGGGGGCGAGGCCACGCCTAAAACGTTTCCCTATATTCGGTTTTACTCTGAACGGGCTGTATGTATACATTTAGCACCATGCAAAGTTCGATATAATTTTTTTTGTTTAAAAAGTATCCGAGCGATGGCGCTACATGTTCATGATTTTTGTTTTTGTAAGGTGTGTTGCATTATTTAAGAATTCAAATTGAAAAAATCATCATTTGCACACGTATTTTTTAGATACGGCTGTAATTACCGTGGTTAATCGATATTATTAATGATATGTAGGTATTTAAAACATACACAAACAAAATTCATAAACAGGTGGCGCCATCGCTCGAAGAATTTTTAAACTAAAATTTTTTTATCGAACTTTGCATAGTGCTAAATTCAATATATTTATTTTTTTTGAATCGTATCAACTTATATTAAGCTTTTATTTTAAAATATGTACATTAGGGTGTCCCTTATTTTTTATTTTTTTACGCATACCCTCTAATTATATTTATTACGTGTTTATATACTCCCAGTAAAAATTTCAGCTCATTTTATAAACGGGAACCCGTGCCGACTTGCATCTGAACCCTCCATTAGCCAACGTTAGGCACGCGGTATTTTGTAACACGGTTGGCCGCTAGGTCTTCGATCGTAAGTCATTTTGTGTTTATTATTATGTGACCCTTATATTATAAATTATTAAAAAATTTTAAAATATAGTTTTATTTATGTGTATACTTTAATAAAAATGAATATTTTTACAGGAAGTGGCTAGTTACCCGGAAGTGTCGGGTGAATAGGCTGTAAAACTAATTACCCGAAACTCTATTTTTTATTATATCTGAATGACAGCTAAAAAATAACCAAAAAAAAATTAGTTGATTTTATCCCTTAAATATATTAATATACTAATTAGTATTGCTAAAATATACTGTTATATGAAATTTCAGCTTTTTATACGCATTTCTTTTCTTGATGTCCTCCCAAAAATATTTCAGACAGTTTTCGGTAGTCATCTCTCACAATAGACTCTTTTAGTTATTTAGAGTAAATCCCATTAAGTTTATCAATTTCAGAGTTTACGGCATATTCACTAGACCCTTCCGGGTAACTAGCCACTCCCTGTGAAAAAATACATTTTTATCAAAGTATACACATAAATAAAACTATATTTTAACATTTGTCAATAATTTATAATATAAGGGTCACATAATAACAAACACAAAATGACTTACGATCGAAGACCTCGCGGCCAACCGTGTTACAAAATACCGCGCGCATAACGTTGGCTCACGGAGGGTTCAGATGCAAGTCGGCACGGGTTCCCGTTTATAGAATGAGCTGAAATTTTTACTGGGAGTATATAAACACGTAATAAATATAATTAGAGGGTATGCGTAAAAAAATAAAAAATAAGGGACACCCTAATGTACATGTATATATGTAATATGTATATGTATATGTATATGTATATGTAGGTAAAACTAGTAAATTTTACTTACATATTGTTTTTTCTGCAAAACATTTTTTCTACGACCCCTATGTAAAAGTCACATTTCGTAACGGCATCGTTGCTTAGAAAATGAATTTTTTCATTTGCAAGGCGAAACACGAATGTAAAGTGACATTTCTGTGTGAAAAGTGACAGGTCTGTGTGAAAAGTGACAGGTCTGTGTGAAAAGAAATTGACAGCATCGTTTGACATTCGTTTCAAAATTTGTACCTAGGTATATCATTTGGAACAAAATTAATTGTGTTTGTATAATAAATTCTAATTTTTTGTGCCTTTATTTTAATTGAAAAGGTAAGTTTATTGATTTAAAGTAACTTATACCTTAAAAATTAAAAGAATAAGATGAAAGTAATTTTAGCAGAGCTGTCAAACACGTTTTAGGTTATTTTGTTTAGTATTTGAAAATATTAAAAAGTAAAAGGGTCGTAGAAAAAACATTGTGTCTTAACCTAACGGCCTCGTGAGCAACTTAAACACTCGCATGAAAAAGTCGCTTTTCAACACTTGTAAAACAAATAACTATTACCTATGTAGAGGAAGTGGGGGTAATTCGGAATACTGTTGGTAATTTGGAATACCTACTTAAATATTGAAGCTATGCTTAGCGCCATCTCCTTAAATATGAAATAAACTACTAGAATAGCCTGTATTTTGTGGACATGTGATTTTGTAGATATTTTGATTTATGGTAGAGAGCCAACACATGTGAAAAATTAATTGTGGGGTAACTAAAACTTTTTAGTGGTAATTAAATCGGCAAATATAGCTTCGATTTTTATCTTTAAATTAACTTAAATTGTATCCTCAGGTAAGTAAAGGGTTATATATAAAAAAATATATTTTTAGTTGTTAATTGTACTTTTTTGATATGTTAAAGCATTTACTTTTTTTACATATTATGGCGTAGGTCTTTATATTGCTAATTTGGAATACTATAAATAATGCAAATTTGAAATATTCCAAATTATATTCATTTTTTGTAATATTTGATAATCAATCCAATTTTCTCTTTTAATTAATATTTGGTTACCTTTTTAAATGTTTTATTAACCTTTTTAATATAAAACATTTGCTGCTACTTTGAAATATTCCAAATTGGTGGTATTCCAAATTAACTTCATGATTTTTTCATTAGTGAAAAAATCCTTTTATAGTATTTTAAATAGTTTTAAATTTTCGTATGGCATAGTACAAATGTAAATCTTGGACATGTTATTTATTTTAATCGAAATAATTTAAATTTAAATTTTTTGCTATTTTTTTTAAACTACTAGGTATTCCAAAATACCCTAACTTCCTCTACCTATATACCTAATTAAATAATTATGGCACACATTTTTTATTAATTTTTTGAAAAGTAAATAAATAATAAAGTTTTTTTGAAACTCCGCGCCGTTTTTATTATTTTTATTTCCTACATAAAAAAATTGATAATTCGTTTTATTTACACATTTTTTGGCTCTAATTTTTAAATTTGTTTTTAATTAAAAATTAAGTTTATGTTTGATTTTTAATGCGTTTCCTTATAAAACGGTTTTATTAAAACCTTTAATTTTGCTTAAAAAAACCTACCTATATGTATGTATATAAAATATATCATTTAATCAATTGATTCTCCCCATGCAACAAACCAGCATCCTCCACTGAGCGCTGAACAATAATCCGCATAAATTACACATCTGGAAAACCTTACGACGCCAATACAACGGGC